CTGATGCAGATCCTGCCCCTCCCCAGCACTCATCCTCCAGGGCCAGCCACCTGGGTGTCCTTCCCCACTCCCACCCCCACCCCCACCCCATCCAGCCTGGGCTGAGATCATCCCGGCATTCCTGCAGGAACCGCAGGTCGCAGGTGGCTGTGGCCCATTCCTCCCTTTCCCCTCTGCTTCCTGACCCACACGCGAGGGCCTCAGTTCCACTTCCAGAGGTCTTCCCCCTTGTCTTCACTCTGCCTTCCATCTGGGGCCACCTCACGTGTTTGGAGACGTTTCTGGCACTCCCCTTCCCCTGTGCCATCCTGTGGGCCCTCGCCCTTTCCAGCACATCCTGTCCTCTTCACAGCAGGTGAAGGCACCCATCCCATCGGCCCCACAGCCCTTGAACCTTCAGGAAGTGTCTTCCCTCCAAATCCCCACGTCGGAACTTCTCGCTGGCCACTGCTTGAGCATTTGCGGCTCTCCCTGATGTGCAGTCTGTGTTCCCCTGAGTGGTACTTCCGGTGCTCCAGCTCCTCTCCCTTCTCCTTTCAGCTCCTCCTCTTGCTTTGCTGCCCAGCCCGTACTCTTCGAGGCAACATTTTACTGTGATGTTGTTTGTCCTTTTGCACTTAGGCGAGCTTCCCTGGCCAGTGACCAGCCTCAGCAAGCAGAGCGCTTTTCCCTGTGCTGGAGTCTTGCACCCATCCTGTGACCGTGTGCGGTTTCACACACCTGTCCTGGGTCCCTGCAGTGCAGCAGTGGCTGGCTTCCCCTTTATTAGTTGGAGCTCATGGAAATTAATAGTCCTCAGAGGAAATAAGCCCAAATGCGGTTCCATCAGTCAAGTCAGAGACATTTCAACCTTGTTCTGGGGATGTCCACTTGGGTTCCTTTCTCACATCTGAGCACTCCTCCCATGACATGATTCAAGCACCAGCCTCAGGCCTTGGCAGGTGGATGTCTTGCTACTTTTGAGGTCAAGGCCAAGAGAATCAAACTTGCCCCCTGACATCTGGGTTGGAGAGACAGAACTTTCGGAAATGTTTGAGTGTCCTACCTGAGATGCACTGGGGATCCTGACCTTGCCTGGAAGGGTCTTTGGCCTTCTGGGCCCAGGGTTAGCAGCAAAGCTGTGTTTTCCTGACCAAACTGGAGAGGGTTCCGAGACCAGCTCTGAGTACCATCTGCATTAGAGAAGTGGGCAGGTATCTGGGTGCTGCAGCTTCTGCGAGGAAGACTGAGGGCTGAGCTGCAGTGTCCACCCTGCCCTGGGGAGGTTTAGCCCTAGAAGTGGTCGGGGCTGGCATGGTGTCCAGGTGATGCCCTTAGCTCCCTGCTGCCTGGAAATAACCGGAGACTCTGCAGCGTGACGTCTGGGGTCCTCCGTGAGCTGGAGAAACCAGCTTTCCAGCTCAATTTCATGATATGGTTGGGCATCCCTTTTCAGAGATGCTTGGAACAAGGAGTGTTTTGGATTTGGATTTTCTTTGGATTTTGGAATATTTTCATATGTATAGTGAGATATCTTGTGGATGGGCGCAAGACTAAACACAAAATTCACTGATGCTTCAAATACATTTGATATCCGTAGCAGGAAGGAGCTTTTGTCCAGTATCTTTTGTGCTTCTTCGTTTTGACTGACCCATCACATGAGGTCAGATACGGGCTTCCACCTGCAGCATGCTATTTCAGATTTTGGAGGTTTTAAAAAAATATTTATTATATTTATTTGAAAAAGAGATCTCCCATTTGCAGATTCACTTCCCAAAAGCCTACAACAGCCAGGGCTGGGCCTTGCTAAAGCCAGGAGTCAGGATTTCCTACGTGGGTGACAGGAATCCCACTATTTGAACCATTGTCTGCTGTCGCTCCCCGTCTTCGTGGACGAACGACACAGGACCCTGCGCTGTTCTTTCGTCTGCTCGGCCCTCCCCGGGTTTGCTGCTGGTTCTTCCCGGGTTGGCTACCGTCCCTTCCACCTCCGTGGGAGGGCGGTTCCCCCTGCCACTTTCCCCACTTCCGCGGGGGAGCGGCACACCTCCGGCTGGCTCTCTCGGGGGCTGCACAGGTGTTCCTTCAGATAGATGTTCCTGGTGCATGTTGTCTCTCTCCTCCTTTATAGTCCTCTTCCGCCAATCCCAACTCTGCTACCCACACGCCGAGTATGCTGCTCTCCTCCAATCAGGAGTAGGTCCTGCTGCTTATTGGTTGAACTGGAGGCAGCTGTGTAGAAGCTGTTTCCTCCTCTCCCAGCGCCATATTGTGGGAGAGCAGATGCATAGAATAAGTCTTAATTCCAGTAACTTAGTCTAGTCCGAGTTGCTCCCAGTTGCTCCCCACAGTCTGCTTCATTCCAGGGTGCATTTTGGGGATTACTGGATTAAGGGTGTTTAACTTATTTCAGTTACACACTACGTTCAGCTATGGCTCTTCCTCAATTGTCCATATGTAGTCTTTGTTCTTTCTAAGAAAACTGAGACATGATACTTAAAAATTTTTGAAACAGTATTAAACAGGAGAAAGGAGAAAAATTCTTTAATTGGCTACACAAATGAAACACCTGGAAACTTTTCATTGTGGTTTTCCCCCTTCCTTGCAAATGTATTATCTTTGTATTTTGTTTATCTTTTTTTAAAAAAAAAAAAGATTTATTTACTTAAAAGGCAGGGTGACAGAAGGAGAGACAGAAAGAGAGCTTCCATCTGCTGATTCATTCCCTAAGTGGACAAGGCTCGGCCAGGCAGAAGCCAGGAGCCTAGAACTCCATCCAGGTCTCCCATGTAGGTGCAGGGCCCAAGCACTTTCCCAGGTGCATTAGCAGGGAGCTGGCTTAAAAATAGAGCAGCCAGGACTCAACCAGTGCTAAGTATGGCATGCTGGTGTCGTAAGTGGTAGTTTCACACGCTGCACCACAACGCCAACTCCCTTGTCTTAAGTTCAGTCTGTGTCTTTCATCCTGCTTTTCTCACTGAACATTACCTAAGCAATTCTTGTATCAATAAAGCCCATCATTAGCATCATTTTTAATAATGGTGTAGGATTTCCCAGAACGTGTTTCTGCCTCCTGTTCATGATGTTCTCTAAGCCTAAAATGCCTGGCCTAAGAAACCCTTCTCAATGCTACTCCCTGCCCCTGGGCAGGATTAACTGCCCTTCCTCGTCTGCTCTTGCTCCCTAGGCCTCTTGCTCTGTCTAGGTACGAACTGCCTTCTGTATTTGGTTTATATGTACAAATACACATGTATACAAGGTAGCTGCTAAGTCTTAACATTTTAAGCTATATCCTTTAAAGCCTTTATCTATATTCTTGAGAAACAGTGGTTTTTCTGTTTACTACTGTTACATTCTTTTTTTTTTTTTTTTTGACAGGCAGAGTGGACAGTGAGAGAGAGAGAGGTCTTTCTTTTTCCATTGGTTCACCCCCCAGTGGCCACTGTGGCCGGCATACCTCGCTGATCTGAAGCCAGGAGCCAGGTGCTTCTCCTGGTCTCCCATGCGGGTGCAGGGCCCAAGCACCTGGCCATCCTCCACTGCACTCCTGGGCCACAGCAGAGAGCTGGACAGGAAGAGGGGCAACCATGACAGAATCCAGTACCCCGATCGGGACTAGAACCTGGGGTGCCGGCGCTGCAGGCGGAGGATTAGCCTACTGAGCCGCGGCGCCGGCCACATTCTTTATTTAGTGGAGGATTAAGCTTGCGATTATAAAGTAAATCATGGGGCTATAATTGTGACATAGAGAGTAACATCCCATGTGGGCACCAGTTCAAGATCCTGCTGCTCCTCTTCTGATACGGCTCCTTGTTCATGGCCTGGGAAATTAGTGAAAGATGGCCCAAGTCCCTGCACCCCCACCACCCGCATGGCTGACCTGGAGAGCCTCCTAGCTTTGGCCTGGCTCAGCCCTAGTTGTGGCAGCCATTTGGGGAGTGCTACTAACATATCACTTTAAGATGCTTAGTCATAGGTTAGACAAAAATGAAGTACTAATGGACACTATTCAACAACAATGCCAGCTATAAATAGCTGGATGGATGGCGGGTATTTCTCTCTGTCTCTCCCTTTCTCTCTGTAACTGTGACTTTTAAATAAATAAATAATTTTTAAGAAAAGTAGATAGAAAGTATGTCATTGTGAAAATTAGAAGAAAAATAAGAAAGGAAGGAAGTGGGGGAATGGGAGTGAGGAAGGGAAGGAGGGAGGGAGGGATGCTCTTAAATCGCTATGTTTGAAATACATGAAATTTGTTTCCATTTATAAATAAAAATTTTAAAAGATATATCCTCTACCTAGATTAGGTATTTATCCCATAATAAATACCATGATATATACAGTATTTCAAATCTCGCTGAGCAAGTGTTTTCATAATGTATAGTACTATTTATAGCTGGCATTGTTGTTGAATAGTGTCCATTAGTACTTCATTTCTGTCTATCCTGTGACTGAGCATCTTAAAGTGATATGTTAGTGGTAAGAAACAGCATTTGGCTTCCGTTATAACTCACTAACACCAACTGTGAAACAGTACTGGGACTGGCATTTAGCTTAGTGGGTAAGAAGGCAGTTGAAACACCCGTAGCCCACACTTAACAGCCAGCTGCGGGCCTGATTCCAGCTTCCCGCTAATGCAGACTCTGGGCCGCAGCAGGGATGGCTCAAGAAGTCGGGTCCCTGCCACCCTTATGGGAGACCTGGACTGGGTTCCCTGTTCCTAGCCTTGGCCCAGTCCCCTCTGCTCATTGCAGGCATTTGGGGGAGCAAGCTAGCAAATGGGAGCTCGCTCTCTCCCCTCACAAATTTTCTAAAAAGTTAGAACTGAAATGTCTTGCTGTGCTTTATCTGCTGTAGGTCAAGGGCTGGTAGAGGGGAACCAGTGCATTGCTCCATCGGTTTCCAGGCACGTGAGCCCAGCAGCCGCTGCACCCTTCGGCTTGCATGGCATGGACTTTCCAAGAAAACGCAGAGGAAGTGATTTGGATCCACCCCAGTAAGTGAATTTCTTAATCAAATCCCGTCAAGTCTTTGTGTGCTTTTTAAATGATGAATTGTTTCTGAGGAGCAGGGAACTTCTGGACTTTTCCATCCGACTCTGAAGGCAGCCAGGTGTCCAGGAGGCTGTGCAGAAGGGAGGTGTGAAAGAGACAATGCGCTGGATGTTTATGGTCCAGCACAACACCTGCTTCCTGATGGAAACGCTTCAGCACTAGGGGCCAGTTGAGTCATATAAAACTCTTGCTTCCCATGTAAACCCAAGTAGACCATAGTTATGGTCAATGTTGAGAATACTCACCAGTTCCTTGTTCAAACTATTCTTAGTTGCCTCTCCAAAGCTAGGGTTTGCATGGGGAAAACATCCAGGCCAAATAAAGCAAGCCATCTGGAGCGACTCCCCTTCAGCTAACTCCCCTTCATGTGACTGTGAAGGGGAGATTCTGAGTAGGGGGAGGAGATGAGGATGGAATGAAACATCCATTCTTTTTTGACTTAGTTCTTCCTAATACGCTGTTATAATTTAGCTTCAGTCCCCAAGACAGCACAATCAGTGTGACCGATTGACCAATAGGGAGATTTCCCACAATCGTAGGACGCCTGGATTCTTAGTGTCTCCCAACAACAACAGGGATGCATGTGGGAGCTGCGGTGGCCCAGGGTGCAGTCTGCCCAGAGCTGTTGGCTGTGTTTGTTCTATGTGATCAGTTGATAGTCCCTACTTAATTAGTCCTTCTTACTGTCTCCCTTAGTCCTAGAATCCTAAGCACCACTGTTCTTAGTGTGTAAGAAGGCTGTGGCTGTTGGCGTGGGAACAGCACGTGCTAGAGGAGTGCAGTTTCTTGCCATGTCAGCAGCACAGTTGAGACCCTAGTTGATCTGGCAGGTGGATGGGAAAATGGGCGCAGTCCTAGGGGAAATACTGGACACCAGGCAGGTTCTGACAGATTCGCCTTTTGGGCAGCAAGCAACACTAATGATCATTTACTTGACTGCCCAAATTTTAGAAAATGAAGAAGCCAGCACTCACAAGTGTCTGGCACCACACACCTCCTTGGAATGCCAGGTCCTTAGTGTGGTCTTTCCTACATTACTCCTAGCTTCCTGTCTCTCTGCAACTGGACAGGGCAGTTCTAGCCCTTGAAGGGCTAGCACATCTGAGTGGGGGTGACCCAAGGTCTGCTTTCTTCCGGCTCAGGAGTCACGACAGGAGGAATGGTGGGAAGGCTTCCCCAGAATCCCTTTGCTTGCCTTCTTCCACCAGGGATAGAAATGTCAGTGCCAGAGAAGCCCTGGGCTGTGGTGTAGTCCCTTCCATACTGGGTACCATCACCACATCCACTAAGACAGGAAAAATGATTCCTCTTGCTTTGCTCATTACCTCTCCCAGACCTCCTCCATTCTGCCCCAGTTCTCCTTCCATCCCCCTTTCCATCTCCTGTAAGGAAATGCTGGGTTTCATGAAGTATTGGTTACACAGTAACCTTCCCACCAACAACTCAGGGCATGAAAGCCAGTCAGTAGATACAAGGTATTGGGCGTTTTTCAACAAGAATGTATGAGAATGTTTTGACTGGAGAGGTGGTTCTTTAAAAAGGTCTTTGATGAGGATTCTATGAAATACTGAATTTTCTTAAAAACTATGTTTATTTACTTTCATCTGCTTGAAAGGCAGAGTGACAAAGATAGAGAGAGAGAGACAGGGAAAGAGAGATCTTACACCCTGTTTCACTTCCCAAATGTCTGCAACAGCCAGCACTGGTCCAAGCTGAAGCCAGAGGTCTAAAACTCCACGGGGTCTCCCACATGGGGAGAAGGGACCCATGGACTTGGACCACCATCTGCTGTTTCACAGGATGCATTAGCAGGGAGCTGAATCAGAAGCAGAGCAGTTAGGGCTAGAACCACATCTAACACGGGATGAGGGTACCCTACATGCCAGCTTAACCCACCTGTGCTGTGACACTTGCCCCTGGCATGCAGTCTTTTAAAAATTTGTTGAGAACCTATTATGGGACACCCAATAGACTAGGAGTGAAAGACATAATAAGACACAAGAAACACTTACATGAAAAAAAAAAAGTGCAGGAAGAGACAAATCATGACTGTACATCCGATAGCTGGAATAATAGGCACCCCGGGAAGTATGGCAATGAAGAGGGGTGAGCATTTAAATAAAGTTAGGATCAGGAGTGAAGGATGGCTTCCTGGATAAGTTGACTTAAGTTAAATTGTACTCTTTTTTTGTTTTCTAAAGATTCATTTATTTATTTGAAAGGTAGAGTTAGAGAGACAAAGAGATCTTCCATCCTGTGGTTCACTCTCCAAATGGCCAATCCGAAGCCAGGTGCTTCTTCCAGGGTCTCCCACGTGGGTGCAGGGGCCCAAGCACTTGGGCCATCTGCCACTGCTTTCCTAGGTGCATTAGCTGAAAGCTTGATTGGAAGTGGAGCAGCTGGGACTCGAACCAAAGCCCATATGGGGCATTCACACTGCAGGCAGTGGCTTTACCCATTATGCCAGAAAGCTGTCTCCCAGTAAATTGTAGCTTTAAAAAAATATGTGAAAGGCAGAAACACACACACACACACACACGTACATATACATAGAACACATACACATACATACACATCACACGCACAGAAGGACAAAGCCCCACCTGCTAGTTCATCCCCCAGAGAGGCCCACAATGGCCGGGGCTGGGCTGAAGCTGGGGCCAAGAACTCTATCCATAAAGTCTCCTTGAGTGGCAGGAACCTAACTAACTTGAACCATTACCTGTTGCCTCCCATTACCTGTTGGCAAGAACCTGGAATCAGGAGCAGAGCCAGCATTCGAACCCAGGCACTCTAAAACGGGACATGGGTGTGTCAGTCAGCATACTAAGTGCTAGGGCAAACTCCCAGCCTTAGACCCAATCCTGAGTGGAGCTGGCAGTGAGCCTGCAGGGCGGGAGTGAGAAAGCATTGTCGGCAGAAGCAACAGCAGTGTACAAGGTCATGGCCGGAAATTGCCTTCCGCTGTAAAGGAAACCAGTGGTTGTCACACATTCGAGGGGGCACGTCGAGGTGGGTGAGCTTTGAGATGCAAGTGACAGACGCCCATCTCAGAACAGCATATTTCTAAGGGCACAAAGGTGCGGGCCGCAGCCGCGGATGGCATCACCTTCGCTCGCTCTCGTCTTTGTGCATGGTGGTGAGCCCCCACTCCATCTCAGCCTCTGTTTGGCTCTGCGTGTAGTGGCGGCCAGGCGCCATGGGCAAGCAGAGGTGCGGCCCAACGTGCTGCAGGACCCGAGGGAGAACACGGAGTTCACGGACCACGAGCTGCAGGAGCGGTGCAAGGGCTTCCCCAAGCACGGCCCCGCCGGACACCTGACCGTGGACGAGCTCAGGAACACCTACCAGACTTCTTGGCCTCAGGGCAGCGCCTCCATGTTTGCCAAGCGCGTTGACTTCTGGGAGATCGTCGCGACGCTGAGCCCGACCTCGCGGGGCATGCTGGGGCAGACGCTCACGTGAGCGGCAGCGATCACGTGAGCCGTCAGGAGACACGCAGGTCGGGCAGGCTAGCTGCAAAATGGCGGCCTCAGTGAAGAAAATGCCCGAGGAGGAGTGTACTCCCGACACGCGACCGGACTACGGACACCAAGGGAGACGGCCGGCTGTCCCCGGAAGAATTCACCCAGGGTGCCATGGCGCGGCCGCCGCAGCGCGACCCCAGGGCGCCAGCCAGTTCTGAGCAAGGGGCCTTGTCTCGCTGCTCGAGCCTCGCTTGCAGGGGCTGCCTCCACCGCCATTCCTGCTCTGCAGAGGCCGCGACCCCCGCTCCTCCAGCGGGCCAGTGCGGCGTCCCTCCCCGCCCACCCTGCCCCTTCTCTCCCAGGGCTGGGATTCTGGGAGGGTTCGGGTGTGCTCGGCTCCAGGGACACGGGCAGGACTGTCATGAGCATTGAGACCCCAGGTACGTGTGGACAAGGTGGGGACGGGGATGGAGACAGACAGCAAGCCCTTCTCCTGCACGGCTGCTCCCGCCCTGCGCGTTCCCCCACCAGAGCCGCTTGCACGCGTGTGCACGGCGGTCTCACATATGTCTGCTGCAGTGAAACGTACCGTGTAGGTCTGGATTCGGTGCCTCTGATGCGTGGCCTCCTCGTGGCCTGTGATCCTTGGAGCCTGATTGCTTTTTGCTTATGCATCCTGCAGCCGCCTGTCTCAAAAGGGGAGTGCATGCCCAGAGCCATGACATTGCTGCTGTCCGTGTAAGAGCACAAGCATTTATGTGTGGTCTTTTTTGTTGGTTGGTCTGGCATTTCTGATACTAAAATGATCAAGTAAACGAGGAAAAAAGAGAATATGAAGGTACTTCAGGAAGTTGGTGGAGAGCGGCCGGTGCTTGGCTTAGCAGGGAACACACTCCTTGGGATACCCACTATTGGAGTACCCGAGTTCACTTCTTGGCTCCTGCTCCTGACTCCGGCTTCCTGCTAATGCATTCCCTGGGAGGCAGCAGTGATGGCTCAAATAGTTGGGTCCCTCTTACCCACATGGGAGATCTGGATGGAGTTCCTGGCTCCTGACTTCAACCGCAGGCCCTTGTGTGCAGTTGGGGCCCTTGTGTGCAGAGAATGGGAGCTTTCTCTCTCTTCCCCTCTCTCTCTCAAAATAATACATCTTAAGAAAAATTGTGGACAATGGAATTAAAGGGGAGGTTTATTTTGGTGCAAAAACTTTCCAAGTTCTTGGGTAGTTTTTTCATGGTGTATGTTCTTTGTGACATTTTTGGCCCCTGTTGTATAGAAGGGACACTTAGTGATGAGCAGGCATGGGGAGATGGGAGACAGTGTGGTGTTTGAGACAAGTTGCTGAGCCTTGCCGCTGAGGAACACTGGGAGCTGTCAGGAAGAGATGTGGAAGAAATACAACCGGAGGTGGAGGCAGGAGCGAGTTTCCCAAGAACCTTGGGATGTCATGAGGGAGTCTGAGCAGACGTCTTGGGTGGTGCGGTGCGTGGGGACATTATATACAGTGGGATTGGGATGGTCTGATTTGTTTAGGAGGAAAATTCTGGAAGTCCTAAGAGAGGCTGGGAGGGGAAGACACTGGAAAAGGCATCCACTTAAAAGACTTCTGAGGCAGCGTAGGGCCAGGGTGCATGGAGAGGAAGAGAAAAGTATTTAAGCAGGGTTCGGGAGTTCGTGACTATTTGGTTCCTCACAGGGAAGGAGAGGGAGGGAGTAGCATGGGTGCCGCTGGGTCACCTGCAGATAAACCCAGCGTGAGCAGAGTCTCGGGAGCCACGTGGCAGGCGGTGCGTTCTGTCTGGGGCTTCTTGAGTTTGGGGGTGCTTGTGGATGCTCTACATGTGCAATTCCAGCTCCAGAGGTGGGGCACTGGGTACAGTTGGACTGAGGTAGGGGTGTGACTGGGGTAGCCTCGGAGTGGGTATGAGGGAGACCTCCCAGGGTGAATTACGGAGAGGGAAGGAAGGCCCCAAGCTATGAATTGTGACATCCACCAGCATTGCAGGGGAGAGAACTGAGCGAGGATCCCAGGGGACTGAGCCCAGCAGGGAGTGAGAGGGGGAGGAAGTCACAGAAGCCAGGTGAGAGAGGGCAGGGACTGCGGGCGCCCACAGCAGAGGCTGTGGGGGTTGGTTCAGAGGGGGAGAAGCCGAGATGGAGTGGAGACCTCACTGTTTCGGGAAGCTGGCTGAGAAGGCAGGAGGGGCAGGACAGGACCAGCACCAGCTAGAACTGGGAGCAGGTCTCGCAGCAGGAGGAGACTGGAGCCCTAACAGGGAGCTGTGATGGGAGGGAGGCCTCCAGGCTGCCACTTGCTTGTGCCGGTGTCTGAGGGGTGTTCACGTTGACTGCGAGGGTACCCCCGCCCACTCTGGGCCGGAGAACCGTGTGGGCCTGCTGGACTCAACACCTGCCCCAGGAGCACCTGTGGGTGACTGTGGGTCTCTCCGTGTTCAATGTGCAGGATGCTCTTTTTCCCTCGGAAAGAAGCTCATAGTCAGACCGAGAAGCGGAGGAGAGACAAGATGAACGGCCTGATTGAGGAGCTGTCTGCCATGATCCCTCCGTGTGGCCCCGTGGCCAGGAAGCTGGACAAACTCACTGTCCTCAGGATGGCCGTGCAGCACCTGCAGTCCTTAAAAGGTGAGCCTGGAACGCCGCCGGCCGTGGAGCTGAGCTCTCTGGTGGGTGGTTCTGCTTTCCCCGAGACTGTACCAGGCGTCGTCAGCCCTTGGTCAGCCCTAACTGTGATGCTTGCCCGTATGTATGTGGAGGGAGCTGACTCAGATGTCAGGAAACGCGGCTCTTGTAAGAGCTTTGTCTGCAGCTTACTCTCTGAACTTGGAAAGCCCTTGTTGTCCCTCGTATACCATGAAGGAATGCTATCTGCCTGCACTTCTCTCTACTTTGGAAGTAGACAGGTAGAAGTGTAGGATTCATCATTAAAATTCTAAGTCATTAGGACACTTACAGGCTTTGAAAAGAAAATTTTCTTGAGTTCAGCCATTTCTCTTAAAACTTCATTGAAATTTACTGGTAGTACTTAGAAATGCTTCATACCTTCCTAGGCCAGGGTTTTCTCATGTGGCTGGACACTGGGTGAGGAAGGGCCTCTGCTGTGGTCTCTTGGTGTCTGTGTGGTCACTGCTGACTTCAGCAGTTCCTCAACTTGACCTTGAATTTTAAATGGAAGAGTAATACAAAAAGTTCATGAAAAATGTATATTATGAAAAAACTGTGCATGGATTTCAAATTATTATTTTTTGCACCAAGATAAACTTATCTTTTTTTCTATTTTTCCACAAACTTTTTCCAAAAAAAATTTCTAGTATTCACTTGTTCTTTCTTTATGTTTATTTGAATGGCAGAGAAACAGAGATAGGTAGAGAAAAAGAGAGAGAGGGAGAGAGAGAGGGAGAGAGGGAGTGAGGGAGGGAGAGAGAGAAGCCTTCTACCTGGTGTTTCACTGCCCAAATACCAAATACCTGAAACAGCCATGGCTGGGAGTCATGGACTTCATTCTGGTCTCCTGTATGGGTGACAGGGACCCAAGTGCTTGAGCTGTCACCAGCTGACTGCCGAGGTACATATTAGCAGGGAGTTGTATTGGAAGCAGAGGGGCTGAGACTGGAACCAGGCACTCTGATGTGGTAGGCACATCCCAAGCAGCATTGTAAATACTGCGTCAAACACCTGCCCTATCCACAAACTCTTTAAAAGAAACTTTTTTAAAAAAGATTTTTAAAATTCATTTGAGAAGTAGAGATACAGACTGAGAGAAAGGTCTTCTGTCTGCTGGTTTACTCCCCAAATATCTGTGATGGCTGGAGCTGAGCTGATTTGAAGCCAGGAGCTGGGAGCTTCTCCTGGTCTCCCATGGGGTGCAGGGCCCAAGCACTTGGGCCATCCTCCACTGCCTTCCTGGGCCACAGCAGAGAGCTGGACTGGAAGAGGAGCAGCCGGGACTAGAACTGGTGCCCATATGGAATGCTGGTGCCTCAGGCCAGGGTTTTAACCCGCTGCGCCACCACGCTGGCACCTATTAATATTTTTTGAGACAAATTTCAGTGTGATTCTGTAGATCATTACTAATCAGTGTAGGGATTTTACCAAGTCTAGAACAGTACTCCAGAACAGTCCAGAACTCCCAGATTCCTGGAGTGTCCTTTTGGGACCATGATTGGAGATCTTACTTTCCTAATAGTCTGTTGTGAAATAAGGTTCTCTTTTACCCACTACTGGGCTTGGCTACATTGCATGCAGTGTTTCCCTTAAATCTTTGAGCAGTGAAACATGGCAGGCTCAGTGGAGGTCACTTGGTTGCAGCACTGAAGTTGCCCAGGCATTGTCACATCTGCAAGGCCCTTCGGGAAGAGGACCTGTGCCTTCGGCCTGTGGAGTGTTCTGCAGAAATGGATCCAGCATCGACTGCCCTGCTGCTCTGTGCTGAGGCTGTGCGGAGGGAGCAGGGGTGGCGGGTGGGGCACCTACATCTCTTGTCAGAGTTCCTGAGTTCAAATCCCTGCTACTCCGCCTTTCCGATCCAGCTTCCTGCTAGCGCATACCTTGGGTACTAGCAGATGATGGGTCAAGTGCTTGGATCCCCACGCCCTGTGTGAAAGTCCTGGATTGAGTTCAGGGCTCCAGGCTGGTCCTGGCTATTGTAGCCATTTGGGGAGTGTACCAGAAGTGGAAGAACTCCCTTTCTCTCTGTCTCTCCTTCTCCCTGTTGTTCTGCCTTCCAAATAAAGAGAAATAAATAAATAAGAAAAGGAATGAAGAGGCTGGCGCTGCAGCTCACTTTGCTAATCTTCCACCTGCAGCGCTGGCACTCCGGGTTCTAGTGCTGCTTGGGGCGCCAGTTCTGTCCCAGTTGCTCCTCTTCCAGTCCAGCTCTCTGCTGTGGCCCGGGAAGGCAGTGGCGGATGGCCCAAGTGCTTGGGCCCTGCACCCGCATGGGAGACCAGGAGGAAGTACCTGGCTCCTGGCTTTGGATCGACGCAGCACGCCAGCCGTAGCAGCCATTTGGCGGGGTGAACCAAAGGAAGACCTTTCTCTCTGTCTGTCTCTCTCACTCTCTCACTGTCTAATTCTGCCTGTCAAAAAAAAAAAAAAAAAAAAAAAAAAAACCCACAAACAAACAAACAAAAAAAACGAAAGAAAGAAAAGGAACAAAAATCTGTGCCCCCAAGGGCACATAGTCTGATGGGGGACAGACCCAAGACCAGGTCTTCGAAGCTCGCCTGAGGGCTTCCAGCAGGGTTACCAATGGGAGGGGCTGGAAGCTGGGCGTCACAGAGGCATGCTTCCAAATCCAGAAGGAGTTCTAGGATGAGGTACGGCTCCCGGACAGAAGTGGAGGGCCCAGTGTTCACCCACAGGGCCTGTCTAGCTCCTGTGTCAGTGCTGCTCCCGGGTGAGGTGATGGAGGGCCACTGGGTCTGTGTCCTCCACCCAGACTGCCCTGCGACAGCTCAGAAGCTGGCTCATCAGTGGTTGTTTGTGGATTGTGGTCATCTGACCCATAGCCTGGTTACTTTTAAGGCAGAGGATGGAGAAACACTGTTTTTCTGTCTGCTAGATCAGCTGTTTTTCTGTCTTAGAAACTGCTCCCTATCTGAGTGCTCTTCCCGTGATCCGGGTAAAGGGCAAGGGTCCCCTCCCCTTGCACACTCAGTCCCTTGCAAGATTTAATGCTGGGGATGTGGTCGTGAACTGGGACTGCATCAGAGTGTGAACTCGTCCTGACACTGTCCAGGCACTCCTCCTTCCTCCCTGTCCTCATCCCTCATGCGTGGCTGACATTGGCTTGCAACCACGTTGGGAGCCCACGGACAGTCTGCCTCACCCACACACACAGGGGCAGTGAGTGCAGGGGTCCCTGCCATGGCTTCCAGCCACGGCATGCATTTGCCTTGGGAGATTGCTAGAAGCCAAGAATAACACACACACAGCATTTCCCAGCGGGGAGGTGGTCAGCATAAGAGGAGGTGGTGGCATTGTTGTTTTGATCCTTTCTTTTGGATGAGGGAAGGGGTCACGTGGCTGTATGTGTTTGGGCCATCATTATTCTGAGAGCCAAGTTTGTGACTTGCCATGGGCAAGTGTACAGAATATTACAGCTGTCATCGCTTTGCTAAGCGGCCTCACCCTAGCATCAGCCCTGCTCCAGGGCTCTGGTGGTCTCCTGAGCCTGCCCTCAGCCACCCAGCCATCCAGTCAGGGCCACCCTTCTAGCTGATTGACACTGACAGTGTTTCCCCAGCTCCTGTCTGCTGTGCAAGCCCCACCAGCCTGGCTTCCAGCCTGGCCGGAAGTGTCACGGCCTTGCTCAGGGTCCTGCTGTTGTTGAACCCAGCCTGGCACTCGCCATCTGCAGCTTTCACCCCTTTCTCAGTCCCCTGCCCTGGGGGCCTGCCCGGAGGCTCTGTGGTAACGAGAACCCACTTGGAAGAGTTCTCGGAGGCCCAGGATGGAAGATGACTCCATAATGATTCTGACAGAGATTTTGCTTTGCCAGTGCTTGGGCTGTCAGTCTGCAGAAACATAACCCAGTCGTGGCCTGAGGTGATTTTGTTTGTCTGGGTTTCTCTTCTCCCAAAAAATACTGAGGTAATCAGTAAGTTGGGTGGCGAATCCATTCAGGGGCCAGACTGTGGCTCTCCCCAGGAAGAGGGGTGGGACTAGCGAGGTGGGGGACTTAAAGGGGGGAAGATTGATTGACTTGTGAATCTCCAGTGTCCTGGGAATATGGCACCCAGGCTCTTGGCCTGGCCCTGTGCCACCTTGTAGCTATCAAGGGCTTTCTCGTGACAGGGTTGGAGGGTGGGCTCTGGACACAAGTGGTCTGAGCACTTCTTTCCTTCTCTCCTTCCATGCTCAGGACTAACAATGCATTATTTCCTGTCCCTTACATACTGTGTTTATTATTAGAAGTCTCCATATGATCTTTAAAGGGGTTTTCTTACTTGAAAATATTACAAATCTATAAAATTGGTTCAGAATTCCAGAATCTCTCCATTTAAAATAATTCATATGAGTTTTAATAATTAAGAACTATCAAAATAATTACATTCTTGAATAATGGTGCATGTGCATTTCATTGTAACGCTTTCTTTCTAAACTGTTGACTTTAAAGGAATCTGTGATTCCAGTATTTCCCATCTATAAGCAACCTGTTTTGCTCTGGTAACAACGAGGTACGAGAATGACTGTGGAAGAGGTTTTAGGGAGCGTGAAGAGGAGACACCACCTCCTCCCTCATTATTGCCACCATCGTCACCATCACCGTCACAGCAGTGGTGCAGCAGCGTCACTAACGTGCACTGAGCGCTAACGTCATCTCCCTCTCTGTTTTCTGTAACTTTTCGATTTGTTTGTTTTTAGGCTTGACAAATTCTTATGTCGACGGTAATTATAGGCCTTCATTTATTCAGGACAGTGAACTCAGACATTTAATCCTTCAGGTAAGTAATGAGATATTTTTGTATGAGCTGCATCTGCCCTTTCATTTTTATTTGAACAAAAGGCAGAATTTCTGTAGTTTCTTTTGAGAAACACACAGGGCTCTATATTGCACTGTATTTCCTTCAATAAAGAAATCTGAGATACAGAACTAGCCATTAGTTGGGGCTAATGAAAACAGAGACGCTGTGCAAAATACCGAGCGCAGCTTGTTTCGGTGCTGGTCCCTTCCAGTGCCTGACGCGCGGCTCTCGGACTGTGCAAACTCTCCCACCGTCTCTACTCCTTCACAGCTGCCTGCCCAGTCTGCCCCATGTCCTTCAGGTTCCTGCCCCTGAAGATGAATGGATGGGGAGTGGGCATTTTGTCCTCATCCTTCGTATTTCTGAGTTTTCAGAGTCACGACTATGGAGGTTTACTTGACAGGGAAAATGTGACCATGAAATTAATTGACTTACCCTGCACCCAGCAAGTGCTAAGATATTGATCTTGTGCTCTGACTACGGAAGTTTAGCCATGGTCTGATTAAATACAAAGATTCTTTATATATACATACAGAGTCTGAAAAAAATCTTAGAAAATGTATATTATGAAAATATCATGCATAGGTTTCAAATTTTTGTCCCCAGATAAACTTAACTTTTACTTTCATTTTCAGTGAACTTTTTTTTAAAGCCCCTCTTATTTTTGTCCATTTTTCTTTTAATGTTACTTTTTTTAGAAAGCCATTCTGTTTGTTGAGCAGCTCAATTGCGATACAGTGTTCCTGAGAAGAATTTTAAGGTATTCTTTGGAAATAACGTGATTTTTCAAGACAAAGGAGTATTTGGCATGCCCTCAAAGCGTCTCTGCAGTCATTGATTAGGGCTTTTCGTTTTTTATCGTCACAACTTTGTGTGGTTGTGGTTCTGCCCCCGTAGACCAGGTCTGCCCAGGTCACCTCATGTCTGTTTCCAGCAGGTCAGGTGGGGGCGCCACATTCCTCCTCCACATCCACCCACAGTCACTTTCTTAAAGGTTGAGTCATGGGCTTGGCTGGGGACGCCTCACAGAAGTGGATCATATGTGAGGTTTGTTAAACTTGGTTTTGAATGAGCAGTAGCTCATCATTTTTCAAAAAGCATAAAAAGCTGTGCAGTGGAATATGCTGAGCCCTTCCTTGTCCCAGTCAGCACCACCCCTCCTCCCCAGCACACCCGCAAGCCGTCACTATTGATGAGTTTTTGTGTCTTTACAGAGTCTGCTTTTGCAATATGATAGAATTTGGTAAAGATAATTTTAAGAACCTTTTTTTCGTTTATTTGAAAGGCAATGAGAGAGAAACAGAGGAAGAGAAACAAAGACAGAGAGTTCTCGAATGGCCATAATAGCCAGGACTGGGCCAGGCTGAAGTCAGGAGCCAGGACTTCCATCTGTGGCTCTCACCTGGGTGGCAGGGACCCCAGTATGTGAACCATGGCCTACCGCCTCCCAGGGTGCACATTAGCAGGGAGCTAGAGTTGGAAGTGGTGCTGGTACTGGAACCTGGGCACTATGACGTGGGATACTTTGTTCCCAAGTAGCGTCTTAACCACTGGTTCCATTCACCTGTCCCAAAGGCAGTTTTTATATTAAGAAATGTCTCAGCTAGCTAGTCCATGGCTGAACTTTCAGTGCAAAAACAAACATGAGTTTAGACAGAGTTTCACTTTAATATTTTTTAAATGAATTGTTTTAGATCTTAGCAAGATTTTTTAAGATGGTTTTACTAGGTCTGTGACCACTCTTAGCTTTCTTGCCGTAATATCCTCCAAATCAGTGTGTGTGTGTGTGTGTGTGTGTGTGTAACAGAAGATATTTTGAAACACTTTTATTTTCTTAAATCCTAGACTGCAGAAGGCTTCCTATTTGTGGTTGGATGTGAAAGAGGAAAAATTCTTTTCGTTTCTAAATCGGTCTCCAAAATACTCAATTACGATCAGGTATCTAAAGCTGAAAGTATTTCCCACACAATGTTTTTTTTTTTTTAAGATTTATTTTATTCTATTTATTTGAAAGATGATTAAATTAACTAGGTTCATGAGCTGGGAAACCATGCCCTCCACCCCTGCATGATCTCATGCCATCACTTGATCTTACCTGTATATGCCCACTGTATATCCACTTCCATTTTGGAAGCAGATAAAGGTGTGGAGCATCCTGAACTTTCACTTTGTCCTGCACCTCTGGGTGGGTGGCCTTCTGCACACACACCCTCCTCCCCGCACACGCACACACCTTTGCTTTCCTGTCCACGTAGTACACTACCTGTGGCTACTCCTAACGGCACACATTGCCATGTGATTCTGCCCTGTGGATTTTTCCCACGTGGTTCCCAGCCTGTTCTCTGCCTGGTATGGACTCAGTTCATACTTCTAAACTCCAGTTTCCCTTGAATAAAGCCTTCACTTTTCTGTGTATTTCTCTCACTAAATAAATGCTAAAACTTAAAAAAAAAAAGATTTATTTTATTTTATTTATTTGAAAGAGTTTCAGCGAGAGAGGGAGAGACAAAGAGAGTGTTCTTCCATCCTCAGGTTCTCTCCCCAAATGGCTGCAGTGGAGGGGCTGGGCCAAGTTGAAATCAGGAGCCTGGAACTTCATCCAGGTCTCCAACATGAGTGGCAGGAGCCCACGCACTTGGGCCATCCTCTGCTGCTTTCCCAGGTGCATTGGTAGGGAGCTAGATTGGAAGTGGAGCAGCTGGGACTTGAACCAGCATCCAATGGCGGCCCTCCACACAATGTTTTACGATTTTGAACAGATACATATGTTGAACCTTGTTTTCCAAATCCTTTCTTTCCAGTGGACATGGGATTGGGTTTGGCCAAGTTAGAAACTCCCAAGAGAGATTGAAAGATGTGTGCCAAGAGAATGGGATTTTCTTGTTGACATTATGTTCACTTCCCACCTGTCAGCACGTTAGTTGATGGTGCTGACCCTCAGCTTCTTCCTGGTATGACATGGAAGTGATGCTGCCACGTGTCTCTCGAGTTGTAAAGGCTAAATAGAGTGTCTGCAAAGTTCAGTCACCCTTCTTAGTCCCTCCACGATACCACATTATTGTTTAAGTTACATGCCTTGTACTGTAACTTTTGGTACAATCTATAGCATGAAACGCTGAAATACATTTTTTATTTAAGTAGCTTATTGTTACTTCCTCGTTAGTGAGCACTGTCCTCACTGCTCAGAGTGTATCATGCTGAAACTCATCCACCAGTGTGAATATATATGCAGAAGAAATCAGATGAACACAGCTTGGTTCTTGATCAACTCTCGTTAGTTGCAGCCATCGTAGATAACAAGTTAAACAGAAGGAGTGGTGTTGTGAACCAGTGCACAGAAGACTTGAGTACCAGTGGCTCACGCAGCTGGTTGTAGCTGCAGACACTAACATGGTGCAAGACCTGATGGTTCCACATCCTGGTGGGAGACATAGAACACACAGACACACATGCACACATACACAGGTAACTGACACTTCAGGGTCACACTTGCATTCCAAACTAGTGACATGACATCCAGTCCCATGGGGCCACTGACTGTATTTTAGGGCTCCATAAAGTCTCATGGCCACTCAGGAGGATATTTGGATTTCTATCATTATATTGTCTCCAGCTTTTTAGATTCATTAACCTGGTTTGCTGTAAAGTAGAAAGCTCTGAACGTAGACTTACAGTACTGATATCTAAATCGGATGACTAGATTATTTTTCTTTTTCTGTATGAGATGTCTAAGTGGCACACAACTGAGGCTGCTTCTGTGATCAGCTGGTCCCTTTGTTCTGTCTTTTTTTTTTTTTTGACAGGCAGAGTGCATAGTGAGAGATAGAGAGACAGAGAGAAAGGTCTTTCTTTGCCATTGGTTCACCCTCCAATGGCTGCCACTGCTGGCGCGCTGCGGCCGGCGCACCGCGCTGATCCGAAGGCAGGAGCCAGGTGCTTCTCCTGGTCTCCCATGGGGTGCAGGGCCCAAGCACTTGGGCCATCCTCCACTGCACTCCCTGGCCATAGCAGAGAGCTGGCCTGGAAGAGGGGCAACCGGGACAGAATCTGGCGCCCCGACCGGGACTAGAACCCGGTGTGCCGGTGCCGCAAGGCGGAGGATTAGCCTAGTGAGCCGTGGCGCCGGTCTGTTCTGTCTTCTGTAGGAATTGTCTCCTCACCTAGTTCGAGAGTTCAGGAGAGGAGTGGTCAGTGTGGTCAGGGATTCCGTCTGTCAGATGAGCTGGGAGAGGGAGAAGAGTGAGGCTCAGGAGTAGAAGGCAGCCAGCTAGAGGGGCAGGCGAATTGGGTTGCTGGAGGAGAAATGACTTCCAGGTGATGGGACCACAGAAGCAGAGGCACAGATCTAGGAGTGTGCTGCACGCTGGGAGGTGTGGGGCAGGCAGAGGTAGCTCTGTTGCGTGTCAGTTTCCAGTAGCAGCAGAGTCTTTTATAATAGTTGGTCAGTCTCTTCCTATTGTAAGCTCACAGCTGTTGGTGCCTTCCATATTATGCTGGAATGTAATCTCTTTCCCTTTACCAAGGGTAGAAAAGTTTAAAGTCAAAATGATGACCAAGTGACACATGATTTGGGCGTGCTGAGAGTAACAGGATTTAACCAGATACCAGCAAGCAGTTGTGTGCGGTTGTTCAAATCTACGTGTGTGGTTCCTTGTGCAGGTGGTTTTTCTGTCGACAAGAATCACACACACCCCCCTTCTTACACAAAGTTCAGGTCACACAGCGTGGTGGGTGTTTCCTTGAGTTTAACCTTCCACCAAGAAAAGATACTGTATGTTTGTGTGAGGAGAAGTAGGAAAATGCTGGTACTGGTTTTTAACGAACATCTGCCTTATTGCAGGCTACTTTGACTGGACAGAGCTTATTTGACTTCTTACATCCAAAAGATGTCGCCAAAGTAAAGGAACAACTTTCTTCTCCAGATGTTTCACCAAGGGACAAGCTGATCGATGCCAAAAGTAATTGCTCATTTCAGCATATTTGCCGTTTTACGTACATATTACCACCTGCAGGTACACCTGTGTGCTGTTTTTCAAACAGTTAGTTAAGGTTTTATGAAAGAGAGAATGTTTAGTGAACTTGACATTTATCAGTCTCAGCATTTAAAAATACATAGAGAATTTCGGTATTCACATAGTCACACAAGTATTTATTTGTATGAACATGCTTTGTTTAGAGACACTGATTGCTTCATCTCAAATCTTTACAAGCAAGTATCATTTTAGATTAAAAACTTGCTGGCATTTCCATTATTTAGCTGCGTGCTGAGACCGTTGTTCAGTATAAAAAAGCTTGTGTACTTGGGAAGTATAAGTTTCTGTCTTTTCTGAAAGTAGTTAGTGCCAAATAATTATTTATAACAGAAAGAACATGTTCTGTGCCATTATAATGGACATTTAAATTTTTTTCATTATTCAGTCAAGCATATTATCCTCCCTCTGAGGAAAAGTAAATTACATCAAAATGTAATTGTTTGACAAGTGCCTCCCTTGGTATTCAGTGTGGAGTCATCGCTTTAAACAGCCATTTTTTTTCTGTTTATTAAAAAAAGCTTAATAGATGATTGGAAAACCTTAGGAAATAACCTTAAAAATATACTTTTCCCACCTTTCTTGGTGTCTTCTGCTGTGAAGCTGGTCTTCGAGGTCCCCGAAGCTTCCACACCAGAAGGACGCGTGTGTGTTCGGGCTCCCGGCGATCTTTCTTCTGTCGGATGAGGAGCTATAAGTGCGCCATCAAAGAGGAACACGACCCTGTGCCCAAGCCCAAGAGGAAAGGTAGTGCCATGTTGAAACGTGCGGTGGTTCAAAGCATGGATGCAAAATTACTGTCCTAAATATTTTGTATACAAAAAAGTTAAATAGATGGTCAAGGCACGTAAGTGAGACCAAAAGCAGGAAGAAAATAAGATTTGTTTTTAACCAGAACCCTCTAGAACGGCCCCTCATAACCTTTTGAATGCGTCAGGCATGTTTTCTTTATTGCCTGAGATTCCCATGGTGTTTTTGAAATGATAGTTTGGGGCCTACCAAGTAAGAAAAGATGCCAAGAGACAGAGTGCAATTTCTGCTGTGAAATGCCATTATTTTTAAATTTAAAAAGCTAGGTCTTTTTTTTTTTTTTTTTAGATTTACTTACTTGTTTGAAAAGTTGAGTTAGAGAGAAAGAGGGAGAGTCAGAGAGAGCTTCCATCTGCTGTTTCACTTTCGAAATGGCCACAATGGCCGGAGCTGGCCCGTCTGATTCCAGGAGCTTCTTCTGGGTCTCCCATGCGGGCGCGGGGACCAAAACACTTGAGCTGTCTTCCACTGCTTTCCCAGGCCATAGCAGAGAGCTGGGTCAAAAGAGGAGCAGCCAGGACCTGAACCCGTGCACATATGGGAATGCCACCACTGCAGGCGGAGGCTTAGTCCACAGTGCCGGCCCCTCTAGGTTCTATTAAACTTAACATCAAAGTCTTCTTTCACGTAATGAGATTCTCTTGTCATCTGAACTTGAGGTTACATTTGACAAAGATACTAAGGTAATGATTCTACTATTAAGAGAGAAAAATGAACACATTGCAGATTGGGAAATGTCTCATGACATTTTTGCCTAAGAGCATATTAAGCCATGAAATATAGGATTCCTTATGCAGATTTCAATATGAAATTAGCTTTTCTGTGATTTAAAAGGATAGTTGGAGTTCTAAGAGTCAATTTATATAGAAGTTTCGGTTGGAATCTTTTTTTTCTAATGCTCTCATAGGTCTAATCATGTAGCCGTCATCTTCAGTGTTCTTTTTTGAAAGATTTATTTATTTATGTGTTTATGTGCTTGAAAGGCAGAGTATCAGAGAGAGAGAGGGAGAGGCAGAGTTCCTGTACCCACTTGTTCACTCCCCAAGTGGCCATAGTGGCCAGGCTGAAGCATCCCAGTCCAGGGCACCCTCTTAGAGCATCCCCTCCCCCAGAGCCCCTGCCTCAGTCTCTCCTGCTTTGGCTTCCGGAGAATCCGGTGTCTGAGGGGAGAATCAGAAGCAGTGGTTCTCAGCTGGGTTCTCTGGATCATCAGCTGCAGCAGCCATCAGGAGTTTGTTAGAAATGCACATTCGCAGGCCCCATCCCTGAACTGTTATGTTTTGAAAAATTCTTTCAGGTGACTCCAACACAGGCTAGTGCTGGACAGCCACTGAAAGTGCCGCCTGAAAATAGAGGCAGAGTGATGGAGGGAGAGAGAAACCACCAGCTGGTTCACTCCCCAAACGGCTGAAACAGCCACGTCTAGTATCTGAGATCACCAGCTGACATGGAAGACTCCAGTTAAACCACGTACTGGTTGATCAGCAGTTATGTTGAGTCCTTCCTGTCCCAAGTGCAAAGGACTCAGGGGGAGACAGGCAGGGGAGCCAGTGCTCTGGTGGCGGTGCGATGTGGAATATTAACGTGCGGCTTGATGCCAGGCCAAACGCTGCACCTGTGTCTGTGCTTGGAATTTGTCGCAAAGGAAAATGGGAGGTGTCCTCAGTGGGACACACAGGGCTGCAGTAGTGTTTTGAAGCAGTTTTGTAAATATTGAATTTTAAGCCAAAATGCATATGTATAATCACAGGTTAAAAAAAAAGGAATCCCCTTGGGGACAGCACTGTGAAGCAGCAGGTTAATGCCCTGGCCTGAAGCGCCGGCATCCCATATGGGTGCTGTTTCGAGACTTAGCTGCTCCACTTCTGATCCGGCTCTCTGCTGTGGCCTGGGAAAGCAATGGAAGATGGCCCAAGTCCTTGGGTCCCTGCACCCACATGGGAGACCCAGAAGAAGCTCCTGGCTCCTGGCTTCGGATCAGTGCAGCTCTGGCCATTGCGGCCAGTTGGGGAATGGACCATCGGGTGGAAGACCTCTTTCTCTTTCTCTCTCTCTCTTTCTCTCTCTCTTTCTCTCTCTGTCTCTCCTCTCTCTGTGTGGCTCTGACTTTCAAATAAAATAAATCTTTAAAAAAAATAAATAAAATTTAAATTGTATGTAAAAATACCTTAACTAAAGAAAATGATTTATTTGTTTATTTGAAAGGCAGAGTGATAGAGAAAGACGGAGAGAAAAAGAAAGACCGTCCCTCCACTGGTTGACTCCCCAAGTGTTCTATGACAACCAAGGCTGGGCCAGGTCAACACCAGGAGACAGGAGCTCCATCCTGGTCTTCTACAAGGGTGGCTTTGACTCAAGCACTTGGACCATCCTCTGCTGCTTTCCCAGGCGCGTAGCAGGGAGCTGGATCAGAAGCAAAGGAGCTGGGACTTGAACTGGCGCTCCTGCTCCAGTGTGGGATGCCAGTGTCACAGATGGCGGTGTGACTGGCTGTGCCACAGTGCTGGCTTAAAGGATCTTTTTATTATTATAAGATTTAGGGATAGATAGAAGAGGCAGGAAAGATTTATTTGCCTTGAGATAAATAATCATCTTACTGGGAAAATGTGGATGTTTCAGGATTGGCAAGTGGCCAGTCCAAGTTATTTCATGTTGCTGTGCTGTAAAGGAACGAAAATGTTGTTGAGTTCCTCTGATACTCCAGGTTCTCTCACCAAGTTCTGCCCCACTGCAGCTGTGCTGATAAATAAGGTTCTGGATGCAAGGGGGGTTTCCCTCTTCTTTTAATGTTTGCTTGCTTTTTTATGTATTTTCATCTCCTTGAAAAACAGAGTGACAGTGAGGGAGAAGGAGAGACACAGATAGAGATATCTTCCATCTGCTGGTTCACTCCCTAAATGCTCTCGAAAGCCAGGACTGTCCAGGCCAAAGCCAGGAGCCAGGAACTCCATCCAGGTCTACCACATGGGTGGCAGGGACCCAAGCACTTGAACCATCACCTGCTGCCTCCCAGGATGCATTAGTAGGAATCAGAAGCCAGATATCAATGACTGGATCCCAGGTACTCCAGTATGGATGGAGGCATGCAAGTGGGGACTTAACTGCTTACACCACAAGTACCCACCCTATAGGGTTTTTCTTAGGTCTCAGATTAACAGTAGTGCTCCCTTAGGTTCCTGTTAATCCATGGAAAATGGCTGTTAAATACTGGATAGTGGTCCCTCCACATTGACCTGTAGAAGTTGACACCTCCAGTGTGAGTGTATTTATAGGTAGCTCCTTTAAGGAGGTCATTGAAGTTCAGTGAGTTCCTAAGGGCAGAGCCTAACCCAATAGGAACAGTGTCTTTATAGGAAAATGAGGAGACAGCAGGGATGTGCACTTATAGAGACGAGGCCAGAGTAACTCGGGGAAAGCAAGGCTGCCAGACACGACCCCTTGATCTTGGACTCCCCGCCTCATTCAGGCTGCCTGAGTGGAGTGATACAGCAGGTGCAGTAGCAGCGTCTTCAAAGAGTGTGGTTAATTCTCCATGCCTCAGCAGGCCTAGTCCCTAGTGAGCACTCAGTTATTCGTGGATCAAAAAGAAGAGAAGGAGAAATGGAAGAGAGCAGGAAGAGAATGAGTGATTACTAAGAATCTGCTGTATGGAAAGCACTTGCATAACTGTGTTAGCACACCCAGCAGTTACTTGCAAAGCATCACTGTCGTGCAAATGAGGACCCCAAAGCTTCAAAGGGTTCTGCAGTTTTTCTAGAGTCCTGTAGGCATTAGGAGAATTGGGACTGGCCTCACAGTTTGCTTTCTTCCTACTCTGCCACTTCCTAGAGTAGCTTGCTGCATGCCAGAGATTATTAGTGAAAGAGCCCCATCCAGGTGAATTCTGCCACAGACGCCCTGCAGGGGAGCTGGCTCTTGTGGGAAGAACGTGCTTTTTCTGCCCAAGTGCAGGTGCTCACTCCCACATCAAGTGAGACTACACAGATGCCTGCAGTTAGAGCCAAATATCGTTTCCAAAGGGAGTTTTTTAATCATATATTTTTAAGAATGATTTGTTTTATTGAGAGATGGGCACACAGAGATCTACCATCTGCTGATTCACGCCCTGTGAACTCAGCTGGGGCTGACTGGGACCCAGAAACTCAACTCAGGTCTTCCTGGGTAGGGACCTAAGTGCTTGAGCCATCACCTGCTGTCTCCGGGTTGTGTGCTGGCAGGAAGCTGGGGTCAGTTTTGGAGCCAGGACTGGAACCCAGGTACTCCAGTGTGGGATGCGGCCAGCCCAGCTCCCAGCTGGCATCTTTTTTTTTTTTTTTTTTTTTACAGATTTATTTATTTGAAAGAGTGACAGATAAATATCTTCCATCTACTGGTTTGCTCTCCAAATGAGCACAATGGCCAGGGCTGGGCCAGGCCAAAGTCAGGAGCCAGGAGCTTCTTCCTGGTCTCCCACACAGAGGGTAGCACAGGCTCAAGGACGTGGGCCATCTGCTGCTGCTTTTTCTAGATGGTTAGCAGGGAGCCTGATGGGAAGTGGAGCAGCCAGGACTCAAGCCAGCACCCATGTGGGATGCCGGCATCACAAGTGGCAGCGTCACCTGCTGTGCCACAATTCTGGCCCCGACCTAGTTGGCATCTTAATTGCCAGGCTGTGTGTCTGCCCCAGAAAGGAGTTTGTAACGTGCTCAACTATGTGAGCCACACATCCGGCAGGTGCAGTGGTCGGATTTTGCCTGCAGTTGTTTTTTTTTTTTTTTCCTGTGTTGAGTAGCCCATGTGATCCCATTCCCTGTACTGGTGAAGCCTGTGGGGAGTAAAGGTGTTTTCTTCACTTTTACTGTGATACATCAGATACGTTTAAATGTAAAGGAAGAGAGACTGGACAGTTGCCCTTTTTATGCAAACTGCAAACTTAATTTCAGAGTTCTGGACACGAGGTCCTCCGCGTGGCTTCCAAGACCCCAGTCTGTCCCCTGCTTCATTCTCCAGCGCTTCCCCCACGGCAGCCTCTGCTTCAGCTGCGTCTCTGTTGGCAGTGGCTCTGTCCCATGTGCCCCTTCGGTCTCCAGGCCACTCTCATCTGAACACTTTCTGTGGAGGAGCACCCACTGTCACTGAGTGGCTCAGTGGTTGTGTTTCTGAGTGAGCCTCAGGCCAGCCCATCGTAACCTAAACCCCAGCTCCACCCTGGACTCTCACCTTGGAGTGGACGCTGAGTCCTGAGACAGTGGGGCTAACAGGAGAGCAGCTCACAGGGACATGGAAGAGATGCAATGAGTCACACAGTGAAAGTGCTTGAGAGCAGCATGAGAAAGAAAATGATCTATAAACCTTTCATGTTATTAGCTACTATCTTAAAGGAGAGTCCATATTACCTTCAATTTCTTACAAAAGTTTATTTTATTTATTTTAAAGCTTTATTGTGGTAACCGTCTTACCAGATAGTAGCAATTTAAAGTAATACTCTGGGTTTTTCTAAATCTAATCACAAAAAACTTTTAAATCAATTAAAAATTCTTAAATTTTTATGTGTTATTTGTTCCAAAGGCAGAGACAGAGAGAAATCTCCTATCTACTGGTTCAATCCTTAGATGCTGGCAAAATCCTGGGCTGCACCGGGTCAAGGCCAGGAGCCAGAAACTCAGTCTAGGTCTCCACATGGTGGCGATGACCCAAGTACTAGAGCCATCATCATTGCCTCCCAGGCTGTGCATTAGCAGTCAGCTGGGATCAAGACCAGAGCTGGGATTCAGACCCAGGCACTCGGATATGGGACGGGTGTCCCAGGTAGTTTGTTAACCATGGTGCCAAGCGCTCACCCTTAAATCATTTATAGGAGCCATTTTATGGTCCTGCTTTCAGTGTTCCAGTCTCGTGTGTGTGGTGCCATAGTCCGCATGTTGCCCGCTGTTATCCCCGCATTGTACTTCATCGTTTGCTTAGGTAGCTCCTGATTGTTGACTTTATGGATTATTTCCAGATTTTTTAAATCTGGTTGGATCTGCTTGACAAACTTTTTCCTGAGTTAATTGCTTGGGATTTCTCTGAAAAGTGATGTTTTTCATCAAAATTTTGTCTTTGTATTGTATTACAAGTATCTCTAAATGTTTTCCAAAGTGATTCTGCCATCTCTTGTGATAGAAATGTTATATTGAATAGATTATACTAGACATATCTATTCACCACTGTGTGTGCTAGCTTAAGAGAGTTCCGCTCGCTCGAGTGCACAGTGACTGTGATGTCCTTTGTAAGCGGTGGACTCTGAGTTCCATTGTGTCAGAAAGTTAGAAAGCTAAGCAGTGCTTCAGGAGGGCACCAGTTTTAACTTTTTCTAAGATATCAATTACTGTTGTTCAAAAAGCTGATTGGGAAGTAGATTAAGCTATGGACCTAGTTAATCCTAAATTACAGCAATTTGTTAGCTTTTTGATGTCATGTGTATAGTTTAGTTCCCCCCAAAAAAACAAGCCATGAAGAATAAAGTCATTAAATAAACAACAGCAGTGGTTTCCTCTTAGTGCAGTATATTATTTCCCCTTCCTACTTTTTCATAAAGAACATTTCATAACACAGTTATAACAATTGTAATTGTCAGAGTAAGAAATTTAAGAATTTCTTCAGAGTAATCCAAATGTCCTTTTTAAACATTTTCAAACCAGATCATAGAAGATTCTGCACCATCCACTGCACGGGTTACTTGAGAACCTGGCCCCCAGACATCTCTGGAATGGAAGAGGAGAGGGACCCCAAGGAACACAGAAGCCATTTCACCTGCCTGGTTGCTGTTGGAAGATTGCATCCATGTGCTGTCCCACAGAGCAGTGCAGGGGTTAAAGTGAGACCAACTGAGTTTGTAACCCGCTTTGCAATGAATGGGAAATTTGTCTACGTAGACCAGAGGTAAGTGTTTCCCTGTCCTAATGCTTAGCGTTCAGTGGGTTATCTGGGGCTGTTAATATGTCCTCTTGTAGCACAACAGTTTTGTTTTGTTTTGTTGTTATTATTTTCTACTTCAGAACAGGAAATTAAGTAAAATAAGGATATGAATATGTCAACAAATTTGTTCAAGGCACGGTGTAAACTTGTGGGGTCTGGCATGTGACAGAGCAGGTTAAGCCACCACCCACAGCACCAGCGTCTCAGACGGTCAGCAGGTCAAGTCCTGGCTGCTTGACTTTCAGTGCAGCTCCCTGCTAGTGGGCCTGGGAAAAGCAGCAAAACATGGCCAAGGTGCTCGGATCTCTGCCACTGATGTCAGAGTTCCAGGCTCTCGGCTTTAGCCTGGCCCAGCCCCAGCTTTTGTGCCCATTTTGGGGAGTGAGCAAGTGGGTGGAAGATCTCTGCCTCCCTTTCTCTCTCTCCTTCTCTCTCTGTAAATCTGCCTTTCAAATAAAATAAAAACATGGTTGCCTCCGACATCGTCCGGTCAAATAAAATAAAAACAAATATAAACTTGGAATAATATGAGTATATTTCAAAAACTGCATGCAAATGAAATTCAAAGATAAGCGTATTAGTTACTACTGGCTAAGATGCTTGTTAAAACTCCCTCATCCCACATCAGAGTGCCTGTTTTCAAGGCTTGGCTCTGCTTCTGATTCCAGCTTCCTGGTAATGTGCAGCCAGGGAGCCAGCAGGTGACGGCTCACGTACTTGGTCCCTGTCACCCACATGGCAGGCCTGGATGGATTTCCTGGCTGCTAACTTCAGCCTGGCCCAGTCTCAACTGTTAGCAGCACTTACGGAGTGAACCAGCAGAGGCGTGTGCTCTGTGTGTGTGTCTGTCTCTGTGCCTCTCAGATTTTTCAAAAAACTTACATTTTGCACCCACATAGAAACACAAAGTGAAATATATTGTTTGGGTACTCGTTATAGCATTAAATCTCAATACACAGCACATTAAGGACAGAGATCCTACATGAGGAGTAAGTGCACAGTGACTCCTGTTGTTGACTTTACCAATTGACACTGTTGAAATCTTTACTTAATGTATACTAAACTGATCCTCTGTAAAAAAAAAAAAAAAAAAAAAAAAAAAAAAAAGAAATTATCAACTCCCAACTTGACTCTCACTGGGATTAAACATGACAATAGGTCTGATCTGATTTCATCATCATTTAAAAAAAAATCATCTATTATTTTTCACTTTATGTTTCTGTGTGGGAGCAAACTGTTGAAATCCTTACTTAATGTATACTAAGCTGATCTTCTGTATAATAAGATAATTTCAAATGAATCTTGATGTGAATGGAAGGGGAGAGGGAGTGGGAAAGGGGAGGTTAGTGGGTGGGAGGGACGGTATGGGGGGGAAGCCATTGTAATCCATAAATCGTACTTTGGAAATTTATATTCATTAAATAAAAGTTAAAAAAAAAAAACTTACATTTTGGTACAAAAAAAGTTTCAAAATCCATGTATAGTTTTTTTCATAGTATGTGTTATCCGTGAACTTTTTGAAGACTGCTTATAAGCCATTTCCCACAAGCTTTTCCCTCAGCATATGCTGGGTGCCGTCTGCAGCCCACTTTACTGGTGGGGGGTGGGAGTGTGTGCCCTGGTGTCGGGTGGGTAGCCTCATGCCAGCACCTATTCTTTTCGCAGCTCTGGTCTGAGGCTAGAGTCGCAAAGGCCTTCAGGGCAGCACAGTGGCATTCCTGGTTACTCCCCACCTTGGCCACTTGTCTTCTCTCCTGAGCCTGCAGGGACCCACTGACCTTTGGGAAGGGAATGCCCTAACGGACTCTGAAGCTTATTTTCCATTTTAAACCCAGGGTGACAGCAGTGTTAGGATATCTGCCTCAGGAACTACTGGGAACTTCCTGCTATGAGTATTTTCACCAAGATGACCACGGTGATTTGACGGACAAGCACAGAGCAGGTAGGGAGCCTGGGTGATGAGCACAGAGCCGGTAGGGAGCCTGGGTGATGAGGTACTTCCTTGGGGTAACCCTCAGGGCCTGGGTTTTCACAGTGGTGGGCCATTGTGCTGATCGGTCTGTTTTCTTATGAAGTTCTGCAGAGTAAGGAGAAAATATTCACAGATCCATACAAATTCAGAGGGAAAGACGGCTCTTTTGTAACTTTAAAAAGCCAGTGGTTTAGTTTCACAAATCCTTGGACCAAAGAACTGGAGTATATCGTGTCTGTCAACACTTTAGTTTTGTAAGTAATTTTTTGTGCTGTTAAGACCTTTATGTTTATGAAGCTTTATCAGTCCTGTTTGCCCATGTTTGCTCTGAGTTGTATACAGTCGTCCCTCTGTATCCTAGGCGGAGATTGATTCCGGGGTCCAGTGTAGGTGCCAGAAGTTTGTGGGTGCTTCTGTCCCTCATGTGAAACACTGCAGTGACTGCTGTGGCCTGTGCTCACCCCCTCCCCCCCAGTACTCTCAGTCTTGTCCAGATTACTTGTAATGGGCCACGCAGTGTGGATGCTGTGCAGGTAGTTGGTACCCGGTTTCCTCTAGGGAGTGATAGCAAGAGTCTGGATGGGGCCAACACAGGCACAATTCTCTTTTTCCAGATACTTTTGACGCCCAGGAGGTTGACACCATGGGTGTAGAGCTCATAAATACAGAGGGCCGACTGTGTTTCGAGTCTCTCATTCACTGTTCCTTGACGTTAGTTCTCTGAATTAAGCTAAAAGTTCTCCCTTTTGTAATGCACTCCATCTGATTGTGTGTAGGTGACAGTAAAAGCTCTCTGCCTACCCTCTGTGGCCTGTTCCTGCCTTTCCAGTAGACAGTGTGGATTTGGCTTTTCACTCCATGTCACTGCAAGAAATCATCTTGTCCCCACTGTCCTTTGTGCGTGGAAATGCTCTGTGTTTGGGGGTACAGAGTGTGCAGTGTGGCCACACAGAGGTGCTTAGCCAGAGAGGGCCAGGAATCCAGCGCCAGGGTTGCCTGGTACACCCTGCACTGTAGCTGCTCAGCCTGAAGGAAGGACCACCGCTCCACATTGGCGCAGAGTGCTAGCACGGCCCTGTTCTACCTTGTACTGTAACGATAAGCTTCTCTCTGAAGGTTTCATCAACCCAATTCTGTTTACTTACCTACAATATTTTGTAAAACAAAAACAAGATACAGAAAAGTTTATTACTCCCAGGATTCCCTGTCCTCCATCCAAATGATCCTAGCCTTCTAGTCCCTAGCACCCAACCTGAGAGTTTGTTAGAATGAGATTGTGCGTTTTCTAGGGCACGAGGCACTTGGCAAACACCCTGCTACTTAGCGTGTCAATGCTCTCATCTCTAAGGACTGATACTAACCAGATGTGTATTAAGGGTCTTTAGAGAGTTTGTGGAAAATGTGTGTCATAAAAAAATAATGCTTGGCTTTCAAGTTTTTACACTTCTTTGTTAATTCTGTTGTTGCATGAACTAGGTGAAGTACTCTCATATATAAAACATAAATGGGGACTAGAACCCGGTGTGCCGGCGCCGCTAGGTGGAGGATTAGCCTATTGAGCCGCGGCGCCGGCATACCAGGTTCTAGTTCCAGTCAGGGCGCCGGATTCTGTCCCGGTTGCCCCTCTTCCAGGCCAGCTCTCTGCTGTGGCCCGGGAGTGCAGTGGAGGATGGCCCAAGTGCTTGGGCCCTGCACCTGCATGGGAGACAAGGAGAAGCACCTGGCTCCTGCTTTCGAATCAGCACAGTGCACCGGCCGCAGCGCACCACCTGTGGCGGCCATTGGAGGGTGAACCAACAGCAAAAGGAAGATCTTTCTCTCTGTCTCTCTCTCTCTCACTATCCACTCTGCCTGTCAAAAAAAAAAAAAAAAAAAAAAGGGCCACAAATTGACAAATACAGAGCTTCATGTAGTTACTTTAACAGTTTCCTTCACAATAGGAGAAAAAAAGTCTACTATTCTGTGAATAGTTTCTTTTTTATGGCTGGATGCTGAATTTTATGAAATACTTGTTACGATTTAGTCTAAATGATCATATTATTTTCTTGTATTTTTTACCAACATGAATGACGTACATATTTTACTTTGGAATATTAACTATCTTTGCATCTTTTAATATCCTGTTATTCATCTATAATGTTTTCATATTTGGCTTAGCAATAATTTTGGCTTAAATAAATTACTTAATTTTTAAAAAATTAATAGGTGATGTTTCTTTATTCTAGGGGGTGTAGGGACACTGGAGAAGCATCATTATTTCCTTGTAGCTGTCAGGCTTCAGAAGGTGAGTTTAGTTTCAGGTGACGGAAGATTTATTACTAAGGTGGGTTATTAAGACTGTTACTGTTATTATGGACCTGCTGTCTTTTTATTTTGGAGGAGAAACTTCAAGGTCAAATTTAAAGACTTCTATGAATTGGGTTATAGGAATCCCAACTTTGGTTAAGAGGCAAGAGACTAAGTTTAGGGGGAAACAGATACTCCATTTGAAACTCGCGGAGGGTATGCCCCTTAACACTCTGCCTGAAGGTCTGTTGTAGTCTGACACTGTGGGGCACTCTGCAGTCCACTTGATGGCTTTGCCCTGGACAGAGTCCTTCCAGCATAGGAGTGGTCTTCTATCCATGGTCTGTCCCCTGAACTTAGCATTGTTCCTTGTCCAGTTGGACACTCAGTAGATACAAGAGGGACAAATTAACGTAAAGTTTCAAAAGAAATTTTTGTTTACCTGTGTCAGATTTTCACTACTGAAATGAATGTAGTATTACATTACTTGTATACTATGAAAATAGAAATATTAGAAGATTTTTTTAAAGACTTGTTTATTTGAGAGGCAAAGTTAGAGGGAGAGAGAGAGAGAGGGAGTGAGAGAGACAGAAGTCTTCCATCCATTGATTCACTCCCCTAATGGCCACAAAGGCTGGAGCTGGGCTGATCTGAAGCCAGGAGCCAGTAGTTTCTTCCTGGTCTCCCATGTGAGTGCAAATGCCCAAGCATTTGGGCCTTCTTCTACAGCTTTGCCAGCTATTAGCAGAGAGCTGGATTGGAAGAGGAGCAGCCAAGACAGGAACCAGCGCCCATATGGGATGCCAGCACAGCAGGCAGATGCTTAACCTACTATGCCACAGGAGATATTTAAGATAAAGTTGTGGGGCAAGGGTTTGGCACAGCAGTTAAGTCTTGGGACATCTGAATCACATATCAGAGTGCCTGGTTCAAGTCCTAGTGACTCTGCTTCTGATCTAGTTTCCTGCAAAGGCACACCTGGGAAACAACAGCTGATGGCTCAAGTACGTAGATGCCTGCCATCTAGATAGGAGACTGCAGTGGGAATCCCTGGCTTCAGTTTGGCCCAGTCATGGCTATTGCAGGCATTTAGAGAATGAACCAGGGGCCAGCACTGTGGCATAGCGGGTAAAGTGGCTGTATGCAGTGCCAGCATCCCATATGGGCCCCATTTCAAGACCTGGCTGCTCTACTTCCTATCCAGCTCTCTGCCATGGCCTGGGAAAGCAATAGAAGATGGCCCAAGTCCTTGGGCCCCTGCACCTGCATGAAAGACCAGGAAGAAGCTCCTGGCTCCTGGCTTCAGATTGTCACAGCTCCAGCCATTGCAGCTAACTGGGAAGTGAACCAGCGAATGGAAGATCTCTCTGTCTCTCTGCCTTTCCTCTCTGTGTGTAACTCTGACTTTCAAATAAATAAGTAGATCTTAAAAAAAAAAAAAGAATGAACCAGCAAATGGAAGATATCTTTCTCTCTGTCTCACTGCCATTCAAACAAAATGAAAATAAATAATTTATTTTTTATTTAAAAACGATCTAAATTTATTATTTATTAAATACTTTAAATTTATGTATTTAAATAAAAATTGAAGCAAAATGTCGCATTGCCCTGACTCTGGTGTGGGGATTAAAGTGGGAAGGAAGTGCACTCAGGTGGTAACTGTGCTGCCTCTGACTTTGTGCACATTTAATTCACATGACTTCATCAGCATCCTGTGTATGTTCCTAATGCAAGGATAAATGTTCTCTAGCACTTTATGATGCCTCTGATCTTCCTATTTTTAAAATTTATTTGTTTATTTGAAAAGTAGAATGACAGAGAGGGAAAGGCGTCAGGGAGAGAAAGAGAGATCTTTCATCTACTGGTTCACTTTCTAGATTCCTGTCAACATCCAGGGCTAGGCCAGGCCAAAGCCAGAAGGCAGCAGTTCAGGGTGCTCTCCCACAAGGGTTCAGGAACTCAAGTACATGAGCCGTCGTCAGCTGCCTCCCAGGCTCATCAGCAGGAAACTGTATCAGAAGCACAGCCTTGAACCAGTCATTCTGATGTGGGACACGGGCATCCCAAGCTGTGGCTTAACCCACTTCATTGCACAGCCACCCCTATTTATTTCTTTGAAAGAGAGAACCAGGAAATTATTTGAATTGGAAAAAGGTTATTAATCAAAATTATCTCCCTATATTTTAAGCCCTCATTTGGGTTTTTCCTTTTGTTCCTCCTTAGAATCCTGCCGACAGTCTGGTGTTGGTGTGCCTGGAAGGTCTCCAGGAACAGTCCCTGGTGCTTGTAGCATTGGGACAGATACTGCAAATGAAGATCTGGGTGTGCACAGGTAATGCGTCATTGCAGATATTTTCACAGGCAAAATGTTACCCTATTTACAAAACCATTGTGCGGAATTAGTGGTTTTCCTACATGCAGATGATAACCAGGTACCTGATAGAACAGAGCGGGGAGCATCGTCACCACAGCAACAGAAAAGGGGAATGTTAAAGATATAGATAAATTGTCTGAGAGTTGTCCAGACTTTTGTTTTTAGAATAAGCTTTAAAATCTACCCTTGGGCATAAAAATGACTTGAAAAACTTCATTGAAATAAGCTCTATTTCAGTGGTAAAGACTTAGTGTTGTAAAGATTTCAGAGTTCCTTAAACTAATCTGTGAATTCAGTATGAATCCAATCAAAATAGCACTATGCACTTGTGTTTTGGAATCTGACAAAGGATACTAAGCATAATAAAGTATCCAGAAAATGTCTGAAAAATAAAAGTATAGAGTGAGACTAAACCTGCCAAATATGAAAAGTTGTTATAAAGATGCATCACTAAAACATTTTGGTGTAACCCACAAACGGATCAGTGTAAAAAACTAGATTTCAAAGTAGATACCGGTGTGTATGAAAATTTACACCATGGGAAAAATGTCATTTTGAATCAGTTAAATGGAAATGAGTTTAATAGCAAAGGACCCTGTAATAACTATATAACCATTTGAAAAAAATAAAGCTGTCATGCCCAGCTTTATTCTTTATACTAAAATTAGTTCCAGATAAACCAGACTTCAAAGTAAAACTGTAAAAATATTTCAAGAACTCATACGGATTTTTTTATCATCTCAGTTTGTAAAGTCCCTCTTAAACATCCCACTGAACCAGAATTAATTCAGAAAAAAGTGTAAGAGCTTAAGTACGTAAAAATTCAAAACTTAGTCATAATGATACCATTACAATAAAGTTAAAAATAATTTACAAACTGTGTAAAAGTTTGTGTTTTATATGATGAAATAACTCTATAGCATAATGAGAAGTGTAAATGTATAGTTTTATAGCATAATGAATAGGGTAAAGTGTAAATGTATAGTGTAAAGAATAGTATAAATAATTTTTAGGGGCCAGCATTATGGTAGATCTGGTTAAGCCAATCCCTGTGATGCTGGCATCCCATGTAAGTGCTGCTTAGAGTCCCAGCTGCTCTTCCTCCCATCTAGCTCCCTGCTAATGCACCTGGGAAGGCAACAGAAGATGGCCCAAGTGCATGGGCCCCTGCCACTCAAATGGGAGACCTGGGTGGAGTCCCAGGCTCCTGGCTTTGGCCTGGCCCAGCCCTAGCCATTGCAGCCATTTAGGGAATGAACCAGTGGCTGGAAGATTTCTCTTTCTCCCTCTCCCTCTTCTCCCTCTCTGTAACTCTGCCTTTCAAATAAATAAAATAAATCTTTAAAAAACAAAAATTTTTAACTTAGTATTTTAAAAAGTTAGATAGTTGACATGAACAGGAAAAAATACAAATGACCAAGAGTCTAAAAGCTTTCTTCATTAATATTTAAAAATACATATGCTGGCTGGCGCCGCGGCTCACTAGGCTAATCCTCCGCCTAGCGGCGCCGGCACACTGGGTTCTAGTCCCGGTCGGGGCGCTGGATTCTGTCCCGGTTGCCCCTCTTCCAGGCCAGCTCTCTGCTGTGGCCAGGGAGTGCAGTGGAGGATGGCCCAGGTGCTTGGGCCCTGCATCCCATGGGAGACCAGGAAAAGCACCTGGCTCCTGGATCCTGCCATCGGATCAGCGCGGTGCGCCGGCCGCAGCATGCCGGCCGCGGCAGCCATTGGAGGGTGAACCAACGGCAAAGGAAGACCTTTCTCTCTGTCTCTCTCTCTCTCACTGTCCACTCTGCCTGTCAAAAAAAAAAAAAAAAATACATATGCTGAGGCCGGTGCCACAGCTTACTTGGCTATTCCTCCAACTGCGGTGCCGGCACCCCGGGTTCTAGTCCCTATAGGGGCATCAGTTCTGTCCCGGTTGCTCTTCTTCCATTCCAGCTCTGTGCTGTGGCCCCGGAAGACAGTGGAGGATGGCCCAAGTGCTTGGGTCCTGCACCCACATAGGAGACCAGGAAGAAGCACCTGGCTCCTGGCTTCGGATCGGTGTAGCTCCAGCCGTTTTGGCCATTTGAAGAGTGAACCAGTGGAAGGAAGACCTTTCTATTTGTCCCTCTCTCTCACTGTCTGTAACTCTACCTGTCAAATAAATAAATAAAAATATCTTTTTAAAAACATTTATTTTTTTAAAAAAAGATTTTTATTTATTTATTTGACAGGCAGAGTTAAAGAGGGAGAGACAGAGAGTGAGAGAGAGATCTTCCATCCCATCTGCTGGTTCACTTCCCAAATGGGTGTAATGGTCAGGGCTAGACCAGGTCAAAGCCAGGAGCCAGGAGCTTCCTCAAGGTCTCCCACATGGGTGCAGGGCCCAAGAACTTGGGCCATCATCTTCTGCTGCTTTACCAGGGCATTTACAGGGAGCTGGATTGAAGTGGAGCAGTTGGGACTCAAACCAGTGCCCATATGGGATGCTGGCATAGCAGGCAGCAGCTTAACCTCTTCTATGCCACAACACAGGCCCCCGGAGGTCAGTTTTTTTAACACCTCCCGAGAACAGGTGCATCATGGCAGTGACTCATAAAATTGCACCAGTGTTTCTTTATTGAGAGGTGTTTATTAATTAAGTGGTAAAATGTCACAGATATGCTTTAAAATAATCCAGTAGAGGTAAGAGACAAGTTGAGTTTGGGGAGGGATATACCTTAAACAGAACTGGGAAAGAGTTCATGGATGTTGAAACTACTTAATGGGTATATGGGATTTCATTATACTCTACTTTCATATCTGCTTGAAAATTTCTATAATAGAACTTAAAAATGTTTCCAAAGTGAAGGATGCAGATTTTTATAGTAAATAGGATAAAGTCTGACTAAAAAAATAGCCTCATACAGTGGTGAAGTTTTGCTGAGTTCAGAGTAACTCAAATTTTGCTGCCAAGTGAGTTAAGGATAAATTCTTACCTTTCATGGTGTTTTGGATTTGGGAATTAAGAAGAAGGGATCTGTGACTCCTCAGGCTAAGATGTAACAAAACAAAGTTTGAGCAGTCCACTTAACTTTCATATTTGCTACTAAATATTAGGGGACACGAAATGTAGCAGAGTAGATAACTTTTGCTTTATCTTTTCTTTTTCATTTTATTATTGTGTTTGAAAGGTGGAGAGACAGAGACAGTTTGTATCTGCTGATTCGCTCTCCACATGCCTACAACAGCCATGGCTGATCCAAGTCAAAGCAAGGAGCCAGGAACTCAGTCTGGGTCTCCCACATGGGGGCACAGACCAAGTACTTGAGCCGCCACCTGCTGCCTCCCAGGGTGTACAGTAGCGGAAGCTGGGAGTGGAAGCAGAGTCAGGACTCAAACCCAGGCACTTCCACTGTGGGATGTGGGCATCCCAAGCAGTGTCGTAATGGCCTTGCCTTTCTAATTTTTTGTGTAGTTTGAGTTTTTAATGTTTAACTTTTTAAAAGTTTTAAGTTGAAAAACAGTCACTGATAAGCTATTTGTCATATACATTCTGTCTGCCTAATTTATTTTACTGGGCAAATATTTATTGGATATTTACTGTGCACTATGTACTTTAAGTACTTCCAAGTATTATAAAACATCCAGACATGTATATGTGAACCATCATGTGCTTTGATGCTAAATTTCTTTACAAGATGTGTGGCTTGTACGGTTTTGAAATCTAATCCTATAGGAAATCTAATCATAATAGGATCCAAGTGTCACTCCAGTGTTAAGATTGTATAGCTCATTGACCTAGACAGTGAAAAAATATCATCCATGTATCTGGAAGTGCATCTGCTTTTTTTTTTTTTTTTTAAGCTTTATTTATTTATTTCTAAGTCGGAGTTAGAGAGAGCTTGTCCTTCTACGGGTTCACTTCCTGAATGGCCATAACGGCCAGGGCTGGGCCAGGCCAAAGGCAGGAGCTTCATCTGGGTTTCCCATGTGGGTGCAGGGGACCAAGGACTTGGGTCGTGTCCTGCTGCTTTCCCAGGCACATTAGCAGGGAGCTGGATGGGAATTGGAACAGCCAGGACTCAAACGACAACCATCTTGGATGCCAGCATTACAGGTGGCAGCGTAGCCTGCTACACCACAGTACCAGCCCTGCATTTTACATTTTTAATCATTATAACAGTGTATGTGGTAGAATTGGCCATATAACCATTATTCCATGTACACTTCAGTAGCTTTGAGGACATTTACACTGTTGTTCAGCCGTCATCACCATGCGTCTCCAGCACATTCTTCATGTTGAAAAACTGAAACTGTCCCTATCGCCCATTCCCTGTCCCTGGCCACCAGCATTGTTTTCTGTTTTAATCACTCTGCTCCAAGCACTTCATGGGGATGGAATCACATGTGTTTGTCTTTTGTAACTGATGTGTGTAGCTTGTGAACCGCCTTGTCGACAGGTGAATGAATAAATAAAATGTGATACACAACACACATACACACACACAATGCACGTTATTCGGCCATAAAAAAAGAATAGGATTTTGCTTTTGCAACAACATAGATGAACCGGGTGGGCATTGCACTGAGTGAAATAAGCCAGGCATAGAAAGACAGGCACTGCATGCTCTCACCTGTGTGTGGAACGTAACAGTGTTGCACTCACAGCAGCAGGGAGTAGGCAGGGAAGTGCGGAGATTCCCTTAGGCAGGGGCGAGTGAGTCCTGGACATCCACTGGTCAGCCTGGTGGCTGCAGATAGTGAGAACACCCTGCTGTTTGAGCTTGCTGAGCAAGTAGAAGTTCAATGTTCTCACTACACGCACACACATACACACACAATGATAAGTAGGTGAGGTGGGTAAGCTAATTAGCTGAATTTAATGATTTCACATACTATAAAAACCAGAAATATGTACAATTTTTATTTGTTATGCCTTAACAAAGCTAGAGTGAGCATAAACACTGGAATGAAAAGCCAGCTTCTCTGTTCATGTGGGCTGTCCTGGGGAAGATCCCAGGACAGGCCTGCAGCCCTTTCGTGTCTGCGTGTTCCTGCCTAGGCCACGGCAATCTTCCATTGCACTTGCTTCCTTTGTGGTGTCTTGTCCACTCCCTTCGTGGCTGTACTGAGACATGCCAAGTTACGTTTAAGCTTTCTCTTCTTGGCAGTGGGTTCTCTCAGTTTTATTTCTGGGTGTGACCTCTTATAATTAAAACCACTCACTTTTTAAACTGTATTTTTTTAAAGATTTATTGATTTGAGAAGCAAAGTTACAGAGAGGTAGAGGCAGAGGCTGGGCGGATCCAAAGCCAGGAGCCAGGAGCTTCCTCCAGGTCTCCCACGTGGGTGCACGGGCCCCAGGATCTGGGCCACCCTCTGCTGCTCTCCCAGGCACATTTGCAGGGAGCCGGATCAGAAGTGGATGGTGGTGCTGCAGGCGGCAGCTTTACCCGCTCTGCCGCAGCACCAGCGCCCGCTTTTCCCACTTATTTATGTTTGAGAATGTTAGTAAATCCTTCTTTACTCAGTCTGTCGTTTAGTATGTTGATGAGGAGCTGGTCAGTGACGTGAGTGTGTTGTGTGTTCACTTCTTTTGCGAGGTGCTCTTTTTGACAGATACCCTGATTTACATGAGAAGGTTGAGTTCAGAGCTTCCTTTTTCCACTTCAGCACTCCATAGCCAGCAATACGTATGACACCCAGCAGGTTAGACTAATGGGGGAAACCGTTAGCATCTGCAGCCTCCAGGTCCTCGCAGTAGGTTGTAATGTACTTGGGAGAAAATTGCTTTCTGCAAATGAGTGAACAGAACAAATGTTTTGTGCATCCCTTTTCGAAGGTTGCAGTCTGCTTCCTCCCTTGATGACTCAAGCCCAGCAGATGCAATGAGAGAGAGACATGCTGTGCACTGTGGGGATGTAAGTACACTTGCGGACGATACCGTCGTGAGAGAGATGGCAGTGAAATTCGTTCCTTGTTGATTATCTCTTTCGAGGAGCCCTCCCATAAAAAAAATATAGACAAACTTTTTCTGACCACACAATGTTTTATTTATTTGTTTAGTTACGTGAAAGAGAGAAGGAGGAAGAAAGGGAGGGAGGGGGCAGAGAGAGAGAGAGAGAGAGAGAGAGAGATCTACCATTCACTGGTTCACTCGTGCAAAGGCTGGGGCAGATTGAAGCCGGAAGGCAGGAACTCCATCCAGGTCTCCCGGGGGTGGCAGGGACCAAGTACTTGTGCAAAGTAGCAGGAAGCTGGAGTCGGAAGTGGTACCAGCACTCTGATAGGGATGGGCCATCCCAGGCAGCATCTTAACCACTGTACCAGAGACCCGCCCTCCCCAGTGGTTTTTAAGAGGCAGTGTGGACTGGGGTTAGGAGTAAAGTTGCTGGAAGCGTCCTGTCGCTGTCCAACTTGTGGCTGTTACGCTTGCTGCTGTGCAGCCTTGGGCTTGTCACTTAGCACTCCGTGCCTCAACTGCCTTGTCTGTGCAGCGGGGATAAGTATCATGGATTACGGGAGGAGCGTGAGTGTTAAATGATTTAATGCAGAAACAAAAACTTTTTTTTAAAAACATTTATTTATTTAGTTGAAAGCCAGAGTTAGAGAGAGGCAGAGGCAGAGAGAGAAGTCTTCCATTCATTCCCCAGATGGCTACAATGGCCAGAGATGTGCCAGTCTGAAGCCAGGAGCCTCTTTAGTCTCCCACGCAGTTGTGAGGGCCCAAGGACTTGGGCCAACTTATGCTGCTTTCCAAGCCATAGCAGAGAGCTGGACCAGAAGTGGAAAGCCAGCTTTACCTGCTATGCCACAGCACTGACCCCCAAAAACCTTTTTTTTTTTTTTTTGACAGGCAGAGTTAGACAGTGGGAGAGAGAGACAGAGAGAAGGATCTTCCTTCCGATGGTTCACCCCCCCAGATGACATACGGCCGGCACGCTATGCCGATCCAAAGACAGGAGCCAGGTACTTCTTCCTGGTCTCCCATGCGGGTGCAGGGCCGAAGCACTTGGGCCATCCTCCACTGCCTTCCCAGGCCACAGCGGAGAACTAGACTGGAAGAGGAGAACCAGGACAGAATCCAGTGCCCCAACTGGGACTAGAACCCAGGGTACTGGCACCACAGGCAGAGGATTAGCCTAGTGAGCTGCGGCGCTGGCCAAACCTTTTTTTAAAACTGGTTTATTTATTTATTTGAAAGAGTTACAGAGAAGGAGAGGCAGAGGCAGAGGCAGGGAGGGAGGGAGAGAGAAGTATCTTGCATCTGTTGGTTCACTCCCCAACACAACAATGATCAGGGCTGGGCCAGGCCAAAGCCAGGAGCTTCATCTGGGTCTCCTACATGGGTACAGGGGTCTAAGGAGCTGGACCATCTTCCCAAGTCATTAGCAGAGGCTGCAATAGAAGTAGGAATAGCTGTTGCCCGGTGCCGCGGCTCAATAGGCTAATCCTCTGCCTGCGGCGCCAGCACTCCAGGTTCTAGTCCCGGTCGGGGTGCTGGATTCTGTCCCGGTTGCTCCTCTTCCAGTCCAGCTCTCTGCTGTGGCCCGGGGAAGGCAGTGGAGGATGGCCCAAGTGCTTGGGCCCTGCACCCAAATGGGAAAGCAGGAGGAAGCACCTGGCTCCTGGCTTCAGATCAGGGTGGTGTGCTGGCCGCAGCGGCCATTGGGGGGTGAACCAACGGAAAAGGAAGACCTCTCTCTCTGTCTCTCTCACTGTCTAACTCTGCCTGTCAAAAAAAAAAAAAAAAAAAAAAAAAAGAGAAGTAGAATAGCCGGAACTTAAACCAGCACCCATATGGGATGCCAGTGTAACAGGTAGTGGGTTAACCCACTAAATCACAGCACCAGCCCCCAAAACAAAAAACTCTTAAAACAGTACTTTTAAAATAAATGGTAGCTATTGCTATTGTTGTTAGTTTAATAGGTTCCTACTCAATGTATTAGATGTACTCCTTGTGTTTTGAAAAAAAAATGCTTAAATAATGTAAGCCACAGGATAAGTACTATATACTATTTAATTCAGTGGAATAAATATTAGCTATTATAAATGCATTATTATGTATATAAAAACCTAGTGCTCTGGAAGACTAAAATACAACATAATTCTAATACAGCACAGAAAAAAAACTAGTAAACTAAGGGGTGTGAGAATACAGGAGAAAAGAGAAGTTACATCTGACCAGGGTCAAACAGGAATTTGAAATTAGAAATATCATATTTTTACACAACAATGTAAGTCTTCTTGTTTGTTACTTATTCATACTTTTAGTCAATGTTTGTTGTGTTCCGGATTGTACAGGGCAATATGTGAAAAACAGATTTAATTCATTGTTATAAATAGTGGTGTACATTATACTACTATAGGCATTCTATAGATAAAGTATGTCAACTTAATAAGGCGATGTGGGTAAATGGTTTCTTATTTTGATGAGCAACATTAAGTATTAAATGATTGTCTGCTGTATAGCTCTGTAGAAGTATAAGAACAGTTTGGTAACAGCACATCTGCTTTTAGCTACTTCGCTAAAATATTCGAATTCCTAAACACTATTTTCCATAAGTAGTTTCATATGAGGTATAGCTTTGTTATCGTTTAAAAAACTGAAAGATCTTCGATCAAACATTTATGGACATGAACTTTGCCTTCTTAATCCAAAACTTTTCCTTATGTATGTGTTTTTATAATGGAGGGATTTTTAAGGCCTGCTTATGTATTTGAAAGACAGAGTTAGTGCGTGTCTTCAGTTGTAGTTATTAGGAATGTGAGCACTGAGGAAGCTGGCATAGGAATTAAGAAACCACTTGGGACGCTCATATCTCATATCAGAGTGCCTGGGTTCGAGTCCCAGCTCCTCCACTTCCAATCCTGCAGGTAATGACTCTAGCCCTTGAAACCCAGAGTTGAGTTCCTGGCTCCTGGCTTTGACCTGATCCAGCCCCAGCTGTTACGAGCATTTTGGGGAGTGAGTAGTGATGGAGTTGCTCTAGGTGTTTTCTGTCCTCTGTCTTCAACGATACTTTAAAAAAAATGTGAGCTTCGGAGTCAGGCCAGCAGGCTGTCTTTGGAGCCCGGCTGTGACTGTGGTGCAGCTCCCTCACAGCATTGGATGAGTGAGGTGAAGTGACACCTGGAGTCCTGGTCACGTGGCACTCAGTAAGTGCCGTCTGACAGGAGTGGTGGCGCCGGGAGCAGGCCCTCGTCCCTTCACTGCTAAGAGGTCTCATCCCACTCAAGAAGAAACCTGTTTACTGTTCTGTCTTCTCAGGTGTCAGAGAAGGAGTTCTGTCCGCTGAGTCCTGGAGGAAGTGGGCTCCAGGCTGCCAGGCACCACCGGCACATGGCTGCTGTCCACAGTCAGGAGCCACTGCTCAGTGAGTTTCCTTTGGCACCTGCCAGCTGCTTCAGTTTTTCACAAAGTGCTTAATCTCTGTATTTTCAAGCCCAGGAGATTTCTAGAGAAGCAAACAGTTTTGAAACTAAGTTTTTCCCACTCAAAAATCTGCGTACAGTAATCATACACTTTGATTTTAAAATGTCCAAGAGTACTTCAAAAATTTGATGGAAAATGGAATTAAAAGATAAATTTATTTTGATGCAGAGATTTTGAGAACCATGCATACAAGGGGTCTTCACACAACAGAGTTCCTGGAAAATTTGTATTAAGATGAAACTATGTGGCCGGTGCTGCAGCTCACTAGGCTAATCCTCTGCCTGCGGCGCCGGCACCCTGGGGTTCTAGTCCTGGTTGGGGCACCGGATTCTGTCCTGGTTGCTCCTCTTCCAGTTCAGCTCTCTGATGTGGCCTGGAAAGGCAGTGGAGGATGGCCCATGTCCTTGGGCCCTGCACCTGCATGGGAGACTAGGAGGAAGCACCTGGCTCCTGGCTTCAGATCAGCGTGGCACACTGGCCATGGCAGCCATTTGGGGGATGAACCAATGGAAGGAAGACCTTTCTCTCTGTCTCTCTCTCTGTCTAACTCTGTCTGTCAAAAAAAAAAAAAAAAAAAAAAAAAGATGAAACTATGTATGGATTTCAAAAGTTTTGCACCAAAATAAACTTAACAGGTTGGGCATTTGGCCTGCAGGTGAAGGTGCCCACATGCCACATGGGAGTGTCTGGGTTCATTCCCTGGCCCCTCTCCCAACTTCTCCTTCCTGCTGATGCAGACCCTGGGAGGTGGCAGGTGATGGCTAAAGTAGTTTAGTTTCTGCCACCCAAATGGGAGACCATTTGGGAGGCAGGGGAGAGAGGGAGATGGGGGGAGGAAGAGGGAGAGAGAGAGAAGCAGAGAGAGAGAGAGAGAAGAGTCTTCTATCCACTGGTTCACTACCCAAATGGCCACAATGGCCAGAGCTAAGCTGAACTAAGGACAGGACCCTGAAGCTTCATTCAGGTCTTCCACAAGGGTGCAGGGCCCCAAGGACTTGGGCCATCTTCCACTGCTCTCCCGGGTCACAACAGAGAGCTGGATTGGAAGTGGAGCAGCTGAGTCTCAAACTGGCGCCCATGTGGGATCCCAGCATTGCGGGAGACAGCTTTACCCTCTACACCACAGCACTCGCCCCACAAATATAGTTTTGTTAGGCTTTGCATATCTTTGGCATACCAGTGGTTTAAAATGATACACTAGGGGCCGGCTCTGTGGCATAGCAGGTAAAGCCACCGCCTGCAGTGCCATCATCACATATGGGCGCTGGTTCGAGTCCCACTTCCGATCCTGCTCTCTGGTCATCTTTTCATTGGATGATTATTTGTGGCCTTTGCCTGTATTCCCACTGCACTAAGGTTTTTGTTGTTGTTAAACTCTTTATTTAGTAGAGCATCAAGCCTTTGTCTGTAATGAAAATTAAGAATGTTATCTCTGCCGGCGCCGCGGCTCATTAGGCTAATCTTCCGCCTTGCGGCGCCGGCACCCCAGGTTCTAGTCCCAGTTGGGGCACTGGATTCAGTCCCAGTTGCTCCTCTTTCAGGCCAGCTCTGCTGTGGCCCAGGAGTGCAGTGGAGGATGGCCCAAGTCCTTGGGCCCTGCACCCCATGGGAGACCAGGAGGAATCACCTGGCTCCTGGCTTCGGATTGGCACAGCGTGCCAGCCTTAGTGACCATTTGGGGGGTGAACCGCACATTGATCATCTCAAATTCTGCTGCAATTAGAAAGCTACATAGAAGTTAATCTTTTTCTTTGATTTGAAAGTCAGAGAGAGAGAGATCTGCCATCCACTAGTTCACACCCTAAATGCCCACAGTAGCTAGGGCTAGGCTGGGCCAAAGCCAAGAACCCAGAACTCAATCCAAGTCTCCCACAGGAATGGCAGGCAGGGACTCAAGCACATATTTCATTACCTGCTGCCTGCCAGGTGTACCTCTTAGCAGGAAGCTGGAATCAGGAACGGAGCTGGAGCTTGAACCCAGACCCTCCAGTATGGCATCTTACCCACTGTGCAAAGCACCTGCTCCCTAGTTCATCTTTATCTGCATTTTAATCCTTGTAACGTTTCAGAGTCTCTTCCTGTTTTTGACCTAAAGCTGGTTTCCATGCTTCCTCCTTATTTCATTCTTCAACCAGAAATCTGGTTATGCCTGTCACATAAGAAGATTTTAAATGTTTAACTTTAAAATTTTAATATAACTTTTTTATGGGGCCTTTTAAAATGAAATTTCTCCTTCCAGACTGCACACACACACACACACACACACCCGAAACGCTAGCTTCCTGCTGTCTAGGTATCAGTAGCCTTTATCAGTGTCATTTTCAATTAGAAAACTCCTATGCTAACTCACTTATGTGCATCAGATGAAACAAATGCAGTTTATCTGACAGCAGCTTGTAAAAATTGATTACCCACTTAAAAATCTGTCAGACTCCTGCAGTTTAAGACATAGACTTAGCCTTTAAAACTCTGTTGATTTGAAGCTGGCATTGTGGCGTAATGCGTAAAGCTGCCACCTACAGTGCTGGCATCCTGTATGGGTACCAGTTCAGGTCCCAGCTTCTCCACTTCTGATCCAGCTTCCTGGCCTGGGAAAGCAGTAGAAGATGGCCCAACTCCTTGGGCCCCTGCATCTACATGGGAGACCCTGAAGAAGTTCCTGGCTCCTGGCTTCAGATTGGCCCAGCCCCTGCCATTGCAGCCATCAAGGGAGTGAACCAGCGGATGGAGGACCTCTCTCTCTCTCTCTCTCTTTCTCTCTGCCTCTGCCTCTCAGTTACTCTGCCTTTCAAATAAATCAATAAGTCTTTAAAAAAAAAAAAACTCTATTGTTTGAAACTCTAGCCTTACTTTGCTGTTTTTTATGACAGTCATTCCTTAACCTCTAAATATGTGGAACATGTGACTTTATTTATCACCTTTCTTATGTGCTGTGTTTTAATTCAATAGGTGATGGTGCCCAGTTGGACTTCGATTCTCTGTATGACAATGATGACACGACTGTGGCTGCGTTCATGAATTACTTAGAAGCAGAAGGGGGCCTGGGGGACTCTGGGGACTTCAGTGACATCCAGTGGACACTCTAGCATCTGGTTTTTACCCCCCCAAATGAGAAATGTTTCAAAGCATTTCATTTACAAAGCACTGTCTGTTCTTCAGTACTGTACTGATACCATTTTTATCTCTTATTAATGGGCTACTAACTTGAAAGATTGGCATCTTATGCTCAGAGAGGTGTGGAGAATAGGATTTTTCTTCCACAGAGGGTCATCACAATTTATCAAGACCCCCTTTACCTAGTGGAATGACCTAAAACCCGCTAGTTGCCATATTTTTGCTGAAGTATTTCTAACCAAGATACTACATACATAGTGTTTTGGCTTCATTTTGATGTTTTTGGTGTGGTTTTTGTTTTGGAGTGATTTGTTGTCATTTTCCTTGTGTCTGAGATTCATTGATAATAGAGTTCTAGTAGTTGGCTTGTGCAGCTGGCAGCATCTCCCTTTGGCATTTTCTTGATTGAGGACAGGGCTTACACGGTTTAAGAAAGCAGCGAGCACTGGGCGATTTAAAGAGAAAGTGCATTTTGCAGCCATTAGCGCCGTGAATCCTCTTCCATTTTTGCAGTTAACAAGTGCAAAGCCAGTGTATTTGTGCTCAGTGGAGCACTGCCAGATATTTTTAAGTGAGATAGTCTCTAGTGCTTGGTGATGAAGCTTTGCATAAAGATTGATTTTTCACCACTCAAGGTTTTGATCACAGACACAACAGGTTTTCAGTGTTGAAAACCTGCTTAGCCATTGTTTGGTCCTAGGGAACAAAGTGGGCCCAGGTGGGTTGGCTATCTTGTGTGGAGTCACACGTTGGATTCATGTCATTTTCCATGTTTAAAGTGTGTATACCAGTTTCTAGCTGTCAGATTCGTGTCATTTTCCATGTTTAATGTATAATCAGTTTCTTGGTATGCACTTGCTGAAGCACTGGCCTCACTGGTTAACTGATTAACTGACCCAGGAACCTGTCATGGCCATGTAGCTTGTTAGGCAGTTAAAATTGTCATTGTAACTAAAAGCAATGAAATATATAGTAACTACAATTTTTAAATCATGAGGCAATGAGAAATCATTTAAAAATCAATTTTCCTGTTATAATTAACAATTGCTTTAATTTTTTTTTATCTGAGAGTCAGAGAAGAGCTACTTTGCATTGGCTCACTCCCCAAATGCCCATAGTGGCCAGGACTGGGCCAGGCTAAAGCCAGGGGCTGGTAATCCAATCCAGTTCTCCTACATGGGTGATAGGAACCAAATTACTTGCATCATTGTCTGCTGCCTCCCAGGGTCTGCATTGGCAGGAAGCTGGAATCAGGAGCCAGAGCTGACGATTGAACTCCGGTAGTCTGATTTGGGGTGTGGGCATCCTAACCACTAGATTAAATGTGCGTTCCTGGAGAGAACATTTCCTAAAATAGGAATTAGTCCAGCGATGGCTCATATCAAGTGTAAGAATTAAGACTGTTTTAAATACTGTTTGTCTTCTTGAGGATCATACTGTCATAATACCTTATGTTCTAATAGCTCTTGACAGTTTACCAAGTGTGTTCTCATAGATTTTCTTTTGTGCCTCAGAAATGAAAGAGGATAAAAAACTCATGGGATGCCCACAGGCTCCGGTGTGGAGTTCAGTCCTGTGGGGTTTTGGCTCATTTTCCTCTGCAGGTGCTGTCCCTTCTGCTGGGTTCCTTCCGGAGTCCCTCATCAGACAACATGTGATTTTACCCTCCATGTTATGTGTTTAGGCTGTGGCTGATAGGTCAGAACCTGCATCAGACGTGTTCGTGAGAAACATACCAACAGACAGTACCAAAGTGCATGCTTCCTCCAGAAGAAGTTTGCATGACTGAGTGAGGCAGGGTTGGCACCTTGTCCTCTTGAGCTGACAGTGGCCAGGTGATGTTGGAGGGTCAGCACCATCTCTAGTCTGACCCTTGAGAATGTGAGAGCAGCTTTAGAACAAACCACAGAAACCCTCCAAGCAGGATGGGTCACTGTAGCTGGCTGGCCTCTGGGGAGGCCAGTGTGCAGGAGGAGTGACTTGAGAGGCCGAGTTTCTAGAGGCCGGCATTTCCGCCTGGCACAGTTGCAGGTTTTTCTCTGCAAGACGAAGGGTTAGTCCGTAGGCCACTGGGCAGGGAGCCACATGAGCGCTCTGTGCACAGTTTGATCCTTTATTAGCCCACTCTAGTATTTTCTGCGACCCAGAATCCCACCCACCGATGTGTTGTGTGATGACTTCATTCTCCCTAGTGTTTTCTTCCACATGCGTTCTATTCACACTGATTGCTGTTAGGAGTAGCAGTATTTCCTTTACTTAGATGGTTTTACTTCTTTCTCCTACAAATTAATTTCTTTGAATTTTGATGATAACTAATGCATATACGTATTTCATAAAAGTATCATTAAAAACCGTCTCATTTTTTAAACCCCAACAATTCCTGCTCCCATAATGGAGCAGACTGGGAAGGCTGCCTAGAGTCGGAAACTCTGCTTAGAGTTGGAAACTTAGCTGGATGACCTCAGGCAGGCTGTTTAAACTCTGTGTGCCTCAGTTTTTTCATTTCCAAAAAGAGGTGTGTTCTCTGAGTCTTCCGCCTGCTCTGTTTCTATGATTCTGGTCTGTGGGTGTGCTTCAGGGTAGACCCTATGTCTGTGCTACCTGGTGTGGTTGCTGTGGCCACGTGGAACTGAGCACTTGAAATGAGAAGTGTTGCAAATGTGCATTACATATCCCATTTCAGACCCAGTCTTCCGTAAGAATCTAAAGTCACACATTAACAATTTTATATTGATTGCAGCGTTATGATATTTTGGATATTCTGAAATAAATAAAACATGAGAATTTTACTTGTGTCTTTTTACTTTTTTAATGCAGCTGCTAGAAACCTTAAAATTGCACATGTGCTCATATTATATTTCTCGTGGACAGTGTTGCTCTAGAATGTTTTATTAAGATTAGGAGTGTTGCAGTTGATTTCTCAACAATGTTGCAGTGGATTGGTTTCTGAGAGGAGGAGCGTGGTGGGGGCAAGAGGCGCGGAGTCACCACACAGACCCCGGGAGTCGGGTGAAAGCAGGCCTGAGGCAAGCAGCCTGCAGACTCGTTTATTTGAGTTAGTACAACAGCTTATATAGCCAAGACCAGCCAATCCAGTCAAGGGGCGGTCTATGCCCCAACCAATCACAGCCTGTTGCCAGTCAGGCTCTTGTCGCCAGGCAGTTTCTGAAACCAATCACGGCCTGCCATCAGTCAGGCTCTGTTGTCATGTGGTTTCCTCTGTTGTCATGTGGTTTCCAAAGCCATCCAATCATGGCCTGTTGCCAGGCAGTTTCTGTTGTCAGCGGCCACCTTGGCATGACCTTTTCACCTCAGTGGCCATCTTGAGATGACCTTTTCACCTCATTCCACCACAATGGAGGATATTGCTGAAGTAGACCAAAGCTAGTTATCATAAGGATACCTCTAAATACTGTCTTTGAAGAATAATTATTTCTTGATTCTTTGATTTTGGTACAAATAATTATGAGGCTGTATCCATGTACCAAATATAAAACCTTTCTGAAAACACTCAACTTAAAATGTGATTGTATGTTTTTTATTCCATGATGATGACCTGAAATCACTTAAGCTTGAGCGGTGCGTTGAGACTTTATTGTTGTCCCTAACGTCAGAAATCCACTGAGAAACAAAGACAAGCAGGCAAGTACAGAATACAGACTGTTGGTAAATAATGGAGTTAAAGGAAAGCCTAGACTTGTGAGCGCAGGCTTTGAGGAGTCTCTGTGGAATCTGGGGCATGGGTTATTGTCGCTCCCCCATTCGCGGAGGAACGACACAGGACCCTGCGCTGTTCTTTTGTCTGCTCGGCCCTCCCCGGGTTTGCTGCTGGTCCTTCCCGGGTTGGCTGCCGACCCTTCCACCTCCGTGGAAGGGCGGCACCCCCTGCCACATTCCCTGCTTCCGCGGAGGAGCGGCACACCGCCGGCTGGCTCTCTCGGGGGCTGCACAGGTGTTCCCTCAGATGTTCCTGGTGCATGTTGTCTCTCTCCTCCTTTATAGTCCTCTTCCACCAATCCCAACTCTGCTACCCACACGCCGAGCACGCTGCTCTCCTCCAATCAGGAACAGGATCAGCTCCTGCAGCTTATCAAACTGATGAGGCAGCTGCGTAGTTGTTTGCTCTTCCCCAGCACCATATTGTGGGAGAGCAGATGCATAGAATTAGTCCTACTTCCAGTGACTTAGTCTAGTCTCAGTTGCTCCCCACAGGTTATGAATCAGCCAGTATCTGCTTGCAGACCGTGGTGTCCGGCCTCAGATCCTGCAGCTAAGGGGTACCTGCTACCCGAGTTTGAGAACTGGAGACTCGCATGTACAGTGTTATGGGTAGAGCAGTGCTGGCTTCTGCAATTACTTAGAAGCCACAAGGAAAAACTGCAAAGTGGCCACTAGGTGCCACTTTTCCTTTATTAATAGTGCTTTGTTTTCAGTCATAGATTAATTTTTCTAGGTCCATGGTGCCTATGAGAGGCCTCCGGGACTTTCTCGCTTGGAAGAGATCGGCGTCTCTGCTGTGGGTGTTCTACGAGAAAAGCTTTTCAGGGGAAGTCAAGGAGGACCCTGCTCACACAGAGAGCATTGGCTTGGGGAGCTTCCCAGACGTGGTGCAGGTCAGAGCTGAATTGGGAAGCCTGTCCAGCCTAGCACATGCTTTCCGGGTGCATTTGAGCGTGGGTCGTGTGTGTGTGTGTCACCACCCCTGCCTTCCTAAGTTGAGGGATACCTTTTACAGTTTTCAGCTCTTTGCCACTTCACTTGTTCTTAGCTGTGTACTGGTATTTTTTAAATGTTTTGGTAAATAATGAAGAGTGAAATTCAGTTATATTTTATGATAATTACCAGTTTGTGGCTTTTCTAACTTAATAAATGAGCCCCTGGGAAGTGTCCTTTACTACTTCCGATGTGGAAACGTCAGTTAGGGAAGCAATCCCGTGCTGTCCAGCCACGGGACAGAGGGGTTTGTTGAGCTGCAGTACTGTACACATTTTCCACTCTGCTCATCAGGGTGTGCTTGTTGCTCTAAGAATCGCAAGGGCCGGCATCGTGGCTCACTAGGCTAATCCTCCACCTTGCGGCGCCGGCACACCGGGTTCTAGTCCTGGTCGGGGCGCCGGATTCTGTCCCGGTTGCCCCCTCTTCCAGGCCAGCTCTCTGCTGTGGCCAGGGAGTGCAGTGGAGGATGGCCCAAGTGCTTGGGCCCTGCACACCATGGGAGACCAGGATAAGTACCTGGCTCCTGCCATCGGCAGCGTGGTGCGCCGGCCACGGAGGCCATTGGAGGGTGAACCAACAGCAAAGGAAGACCTTTCTGTCTCTCTCTCACTGTCCACTCTGCCTGTCCAAAAAAAAAAAAAAAAAAAAAAAAAAAAGAATCGCAAGATCTCGAGGTCTTAACCCAGTAAAGCTTTCTTCTGCTTGTGTTGTGTCCTGATATCCTCGACACTGCCTGTCTCTCTGACTCCTCTCTTTCCACCCCTCATCTCTGCTTTCCTCTGCGGTGGTCTTACCGCCCGATAGGTCCCGTCCCCATAGTGATGCCCGGAAGCTCCAAGCACATATCCTTAACTAGCAGTCTCGGGAAAGGCAGCCTGTCTGTTTTTTAGTAATGTACACCACTGTGACTGTTGACTGGGCCTCTGCATCAGTGTGGCTCACGTTGACTGTTCCTGTGTCTAGCAGGCAGTGGTATGCAGTCTGGCCAGGCTTTGGTCCTATGCCCAACGCTGGCTTGAGCCAGGTGAGCAGGCCCTGACGGAATGCCATGAACAGCATGTTGGACTCTTTCCCTCTTTACCATTGCCCACAGAAAAGCATGTTTGGTGGAGGCCACACAAGGCATGCATGTGAAGCCTGCTATAGTAAGGAGTGCGACTGCACAGATGAAGAGACCCACTTACAGAGGCAGGACTGCAGGGACTGAGGGCCAACTGGAGCAAAAGGCGTGAGTAATGACTCGAGTTTCTGGCTTGGGTTTGTGGGTTGCAGTGTAACTCCAGAAGGTGAGACATTCTGAGAGAAACAGCCTCAGGGTAGAAGATGTATCAGTTTGGGACAAGTTGAGTGCATCCAAGAGATGTCTGGTAGACAGGTGGATTTGTGGGTTTGGAGGCTGGGCGAGAAATCTGAGTTGGGCTGTTTGAACCTCATCTTCTTCATTTGTGAAATAGACATAAGAATGCTTGTTTTGGGGTGAGCACTTGGCACAGTGGCTAAAACTCTGCATGGGAGCCTGCTTATCATCTCGGAGTGCCTGGGTTGGAGTCGCAGCTTTACTCTCCAGCTTCCTGGGAGGCAGCGGGTAATGGCTTAAGTACTCGTTCCCTGCCTCCCATGTGGGAGACTCTGAGTGCGCTCCTGGCTTTGGCTTGGTTCAACCTGGCTGTTTTGGGCATTTGAGGAATTAACCAGTGTACAGAAGATTGATCCACTTACGTGTGTGTGTGTGTGTGTGTGTGTGTGTGAGAAAGAGTGAAAAGAAATACCTTTCCAGGCTTTTAGGCTATGTACCATGCTTCACACATAGTCTGGTTCTTAGCTGTAGTGACAGTGCTCATTAGAGCTCAGTTTATACGATCATAGTGTGACAGTGAACAGTGGGGAGTTAGTGTCACAAGAAGCTTGAAACTATGTATCTTACAAATATATTAGTAGTGTCAGATTATCTTAAGTCTTCCAAACACTTAACTCAAATGTCAGAGTAGGAATTTTGGGGACCAGCACTGAGGCACAGAAGGTTAAGCTGTTGCATGCAAAAAGGCAACTATATGGGCAGCAGTTTGGGTCCTGGGTGCTCCACTTCCGATCTTGCTAATGAACCTGGGAAAGCAGCAGCAGATGGCCCAAGTGCTTGGGCCTCCTGCCACCCAGGTGGGCAACCCCCAGATGGAGTTCCAGGCTCCAGACTTCAGCCTGGCCCAGCCTCGGCCTTGTGGCCGTTTGGAGAGTGAATAGAAATTGCTACCCCATGCAAAACTTGATTACTTGAGAACCCAAGTGAGAGCGGGTGTTGGGGAAGGTGCATGTGACCAGCAGAGAGGCAGGCGATTGGCTGCTGAGAGACATCTGAAAGGCATCTTTAAAGAAGGTCTGGACGTTTCCTAATAAACAACTCCATTCGTTTCCATGCAGACGCCCGTCCTGGACTGTGCTCTCAGAGGCAACGGAAAAGGCAAGGGCGCCGTGGTCCTCAGACACCGCGGTTTCCTGGGAAGACAGGAAAGCAGCAACCACAGGACCTGCTGCTTGCTGATTTCAGTGTACCAGGGTGCTTCCAAACATTCATGGGTAAATGCAGTTACAAGTTGTTTATTTTGGTGGAGAACAATCTTGAAATCCATGCGTAGGTTTTTGTCATAATATGCATTTTCCATGAACTTTTTGAAGATCCCTCATGTGCATGGGTTTCAAACATTTTCAAACAAAAATAAACTTACCTGTTAAGTCCATTTTCTGTGAACTTTTTGAAGAGACGGAGCACCCATCTGCTGTTTGAATCCTCAGATGCCCACAGTGGCCAGGACAGGACTGAGCCAAAGCCAGGAGCCAGGAACTCAATCCAGGCTTCCCATGAGGATGTCAGGAATCCAATTCCTTGAGCCATCAGTGCTGCCTTCCAGGGTCTGCGTTTTCAGGAAGCTGGAATCAGGAGACGGAGCTGGGACTTAAACGCAGGCGCTGCAGTTTGGGACGTGGATATCTTAACCAGCGTCTCAGACACAAGGCCAAGCACCTGCCCCACATGCCGTCCCTTTTAACCTTGGCCACCTTCTGTGCTGAATGCCCAGCCGCTGTTGTGAATACTGGACACTGTGGAGGACTCTGTCCCTGTGAGAGTTGCGTGTTGAGTCACTGACGACTTGTCTCAGATTCTTGAACGGTTGTGTCGCCGGCGTGAATTTACACTTTTTCACAGGCAGTCCTAGCTCTTGGCTGACTGTCAGACATTCACTGCTGTCCAGGAGGAAATCTGTTGCATTTTACCTTCAAGGTAAGTACATTGAATAATTTTATATTTTGAAATGTGAAGCCTAAATTCTGTAAATTTCGAGCTTGATAGAACTCCTGAAGATCTAAAACTTGGTTGACTGAGCTTCTCCTCTCCCAGCACTGATATTGAGACCAAGAGTACAGTTATCTGACCGTTCAGTTAACTGGGAGCCCAGAGTGTGCTATTCACGTAACGAAGACCAAGAAAAATTCAGTAGTACTGCCTGAAATGTTAATTATATGAAAGAAAAGATCACAGATAAAATATAAAAATTCATAAATAGAAATAGAAAGAACACATCTATTTCTTTGTAATAACATATTAGAGGCATGTTTCATTTTTATTTATTTGCTTGTCATTTGCAAGCCAGCGACAGCCAGAGAGCTCTCATCCACTGGTTCATTCCTCAGATGGCTGCAGCAGCAGCTAAGTCTGGACTAGGCTGAACCTGGGAGCTGGAAACTTAATCCATGTCTCCCACATGGATGGCAGCATCCCAACACCTGCTACCACCCAGGATCTGCGTTAGAAGGAAGCTGGAATCAGGAACCCAGGTGATCTGATAGGGACTGTGGGCATCTTAACTGGCGTCATAACCACTAGGCCAAAGACTCATCCCCATATTTCATTAATTAGCTTTTTCTTATTATAAAAGAATTTTAATTGTTGAAAATTTAAAAGTACATAAAGATGCTAGTAAGAAAATTTGAATCACCTGTAATGTCACTGCCTAGTAAAAAATTCAGTCAACATTTGAGCATTCTCTTTTTCTAGTTTTTTATAGTCTAATGATTTTTAAAAGTTACAATTGTGTAGTATTCTTGTATTTTGCATGTGAAGGTAATGCATATGTATTGGTTAGAAGTCAGCTTGTGTTTGAGGGCATAATGAAGTCAGCATATGAAAGGGATACCTGCTCCCCGTGTTCACTGGCACACTGTTCACAGCAGGTGAGATGTATATGGAGTCAACATCTGAATCCGAATGGATCAAGAAATTGTGGGTGTGCAATGCACACGGAATAGGATTCAGTCCTGCCAGGTGCAATGTCGTGGATGAACCTGGAGTCTGTTAAAGGAAATCAGCCTGGTGCAGAAAGACACGTGTCGCACGATCTCCCTCAGATGTGGAGTCCAGAGTGATTCTCCTCTGAGAAGGAGAACGTAACAGGGTTACCAGAGACTAGGGAGGGTAGACGGGGATGGGGATGAGAAGAGCTTGGTCAGCGGAAACAAAATTCTGGTTTTTTTTTTTTTTTTTTTGAAGATGTATTTATTTTAAAGGAAGAGTGACAGAGGGAGAGGGAAAGGGTGAGGGATGCCCACTGGTTCACTCCCCAAGTGACTACAGCAGCCGCGTCTGGACCAGGATGAATCCAGGAGCCAGGTACTCCATCCAGGTGTCTTCCATGGGGTGCAGGGGCCCAAGTGCTTGGGTCTTTTGGTGCCTTCCCAGGTGCGTGAGCAGGGAGCTGGATGGCAGGCAGAGCAGCTGAGACTTGAGCGGGTGCTCCAGCGTAGGATGCCATCGTCACAAGCAGTGACTGAAGCCACTGCACCACAGCACTAGCCCTCGGAACAAAGTTACCGTTAGATACAAGGAGCCAGTGCCGGTGCCCTGTTACACAGTAGAGTAACTCTAGTTAGCAGTAGTGCACTGTATGCAGTCAGACATCACTTAACACCGGGCAGACACTTGTTAGGGCTTTTCATTGTGGGGCAGACAGCACCGAGTGCCTGGCACAATCCGAGAGGTGTCAGCCCGTCACTCCTGTGGCCGCTTGATGAAATCAAGATCTCAGTCCACATGAGATGCGTTGGGCTGCTGCCATGGAGCATGTGCACTGTACACAGCAGCTTTGCTTTCCGTAGTAAGGAGAAGGAGTGCACTCTAAAATAATTGTAAATGGGGCCGACCCTGTGGCGTAGTGGGTACAGCCACTGTCTGCAGTGCCGGCATCCCATGTGGGTGCCAGTTTGATTCCTGGCTGTTCCATTTCCGATCTAGCGTCCTGCTAATGGCTTGAGAAAGCAGCAGAAGCTGGCCCAAGTGTTTGGGCAAATGCTACCCACAAGAGAGACCTAGATGAAGCTCCTGGCGCCTGGTTTCAGCTTGGCCCAGCCCTGGCTGTTGTGTCCATTTGGGGAATGAATCAGTGGAGGGAAGATTCCTCGCTCTCTCGCTCGCTCGCTCACTTTTCCTCTCTCTCTCTGCAACTCTTCCTTTCAAATAAGAAAACAAATCTTCTAAAAAATATTAAAAAATAAAACCATGCTGGCCAGCACCGTGGCTCAATAGGCTAATCCTCCGCCTGCGGCACTGGCACCCCGGGTTCTAGTCCCGGTTGGGGCACCGGATTCTGTCCCAGTTGCCCCTCTTCCTGTCCAGCTCTCTGCTGTGGCCCGGGAGTGCAGTGGAGGATGGCCCATGTCCTTGGGCCCTGCACCCCATGGGAGACCAGGAAAAGCACCTGGCTCCTGGCTTCGATCAGCGCGGTGCGCCGGCCGCAGCAGCCATTGGGGGGTGAACCAACGGAAAAAGAAAGACCTTTCTCTCTGTGTCTCTCTCTCTCACTGTCCACTCTGCCTGTCAGAAATAAATAAATAAAAATAAAACCATGCTAAAAAGTAGAGGGTAGTAAATACTTATTAGACTAGTAGCAGCAGTTTATTGTCAAGTATTATGTGCTCTATGTAATTGTATATTCTATACCTTTATAGGACTGGTGGTGCAGTAGGTTTGTCTATGCCAGCATTGCCACAAACACGTGAGTAATTGATGTGTTGTAATGGGCATCACTAGGTGATAGGAAGCTTTCAGCTTGCTTACAGCTTTAGGGGACATCCTTGTGTGTGTGGTCTCCTTGACCAGGATATCAAAATACCTAGAAAATGTTGAATGTCCTTACTGCAAAGATAGGCTGAATATTTGAGGTGACAGGTACGCTAGTTCCCTGAGGACACCATTACACAACGTGTTTAAACTGCACCTTGTACTCAGCAAACACACATGGCTGATGCTGGTGAAGACATTTTTAAAAATCCCAGCACACGAAGTTCTCGCCTTGGCCCTAATTCCTGTTCTCTGCATTGACCGCTTATACCATTTAGCCAATTATGGCATTTCTTTTTTTTTTTTTAATTTATGTATTTGATTGGCAGAGTTATGGAGTCTGAGAGGGAGAGAGAGATTTTCCATCTCACTGCCCAAATGGCCACAATGGAGGGGGCTGGGCCAGGCCAAAGCCCGAATGCAGGAACTCCATTCAGGTCTCTCGTGTGGGTAGCAGGGCCCCAAGTACTTGGATCCTCCTGCACTAGAATCCTAAAGCGGCTTTCTCAGGCGCTTTAGCAAGGAGCTGAACTGGAAGTGGAACTACCGGGCTCGAAGCTGCGTTTGTATGGAGTGTCAGCATCATAGCCTAACTTGCTGTGCCACACCAGCCCTCAATTAGGGCGTTTTTAATTTGGCTTACAAATACACTTCTGTTGGCATCTCTGATCTTCCCCAAATAGGCACAGGACAGAGAATTAATAATTTATTAAATAAAATCATTATTATGCCACCCCTAGGATGTTTGGACAGTTTTACTATTATGGGTAATAAAGTCAGTTTACATCCTACACGGATGTTTGCTCTGCCCCTCTGATTTTATTTAAGATGAATTTCTCAAAGTGTGATTGCCAGAGCAGCCTTGTCCCAGAGCTCTGAAGAAAATGTAATGCAGTGTTCTTTCAGACTTCATTTCTCTGTCATTAGGTTTGCCAGTATTTTCTTACTTCTGGTTTGCTTTTATTCACAGCTACATTTCCTTTTACTCGCTTTACACTGAAGTCTTTGGTGTAGACAGAGTCTGTTTCTGTCTGTGAAGAGACAGGGAAGTCTGCTTTTCTGTCCCCACTATTCACTGGTGTTCCCCACCATTCAGGCACCTGTCCTCGCTTTTCCTAAGTATTTGAAGCGGGTATTTTTTCTATCTAACGCCTTACGTATTTTGAGACCTATTTTGGAAGGAGGTAGCAGCAGCGGCGGCAGATGGGGAGAGAAGGGACGTGTAGTCCACTGAGCTACTGTTCCTAACACCAAACCATTGAAATTAGCTACACATATCGGAGTTTGACACTGATCTTTCCATTATGTGATAGAATATCACTGTTTCTTCTCTTTTTTGAATTTTATTTTCTGAAAAGTCTTAGAAATACAAAATATTTTCATGTTTATTTATAAAATATAAAAATAATAGGGGGATAGTGGTTTTTTTGTGACTTCAGCATTTCCTTTTAAAGTATTTACCCGCCTACCTATAGATCACTTAAATCAGTGCATTACATACACTGGTTAAAACTGAAAGCTTTCCAGAATGGTTTCCATGTGTTTAGCATTCTTGTAAGCTAACGCTATATATAGAGATCTCATTCCAGTATGTTTATATTGAAGCAGTCTGCCCAGTGCTACAGGCTGGATCCTCTTGAATTGTTGCAATTATAAGGATACAAATGAAATCTAGCCTTTATTAAAGTCCTAGCTATGGCTGCACAGCTCCTAATCCTTCTTCCTGTGTTAATTTAAGCCTTGGAGCAACCTGGAGGGTAAATGCAGGTGGTGATGAGGACACTGAGGCCCAGAGTCGGGTGGCTTCACCAGGTTACCCAGCTCCTAAGTGTGGGGTCAGAGTGCAGACTGGAGCAGCCCAGGATGCTCTTGCCCACGCATCTCGATTAACCCTGATTCTCCAGTCTGCTGTGGTGCGTTCAGGTCCTTATACCTTTCGCACCATCCCTCCAAACCAGCATAGCAGCTTCTTTTTAAATTATAAAAAACAATCAAATTTCCTATCTTAACCGTTAAGTGTACAGTTGGTAGTGTTAACCAAACTCACATGGTCAGTCATGCAGCCAGTCTGTAGAACTCTGTGTCTCACAAAACTCAAACTATACCCATGAAAAACAATCCTCCATCTCCCCAGCCACAATCACTGTTCTAGCTGTTTCTGTGAGTTTGACTGTTTTGAATACCAAATAATTCCAGTCACTAGTATTTGTCTTTTTGTGACTGGCTTATTTCATTTAGCATACTACCTTCAAGTTTCATCCACAGGAGGATTTTCTTCTTTTCTGAGGCTATATAATATTCCATAGTATGTGTAGACCACATTTTCTTAATTCACCCATGCACTGATGTATGCTGTTATAAATAACACTGTGAGGAATGTGTGTGCGCAAATATCTCCTTGAGACCTTCTGTTTAGTTCCTTTGGGTATAAGTCCAGAAATGAGATTGCACGTGATTGTATGGTAACTCCATTTTCAAGTTTGTTTTGTTTTGTTTTTTAGAGCTCTCTGCTGTTTCCCATAGTGGTTGCACCATTTTTAGATTCCTAACCAACATCACATAAGGATTCCACTAGCTCCACATCTTTGCCAGTTCTTTTTATGATCTGTTGTTTGGATAGTGACCATCCAGATGGCTTGAGGTGATATTTCATTGTGGTCTTGTTTCGCCTTGTCTGATCATCAGTAACGACAGCACCTTTCTACATGCCCGTTGGCCACTTGTGTGTCATCTTTGCACAGCGGCCATTGAGGGGTGAACCAACGGCAAAGGAAGACCTTTTTCCCTCTCTCTCTCACTGTCCACTCTGCCTGTCCAAAAAAAAAAAAAAAAAAAAAAAAAAAGAAAAAACAAAAGAAAGAAAGAAAATAGTATTGACGTATCTTCACTGAGTTCAGCATAGTGTGTAGGAGAGACTAATTCACAAACCTGTATGGGAAGAAATTGGAAAAGGAAAAAAAAAAAAAAAAAACCTCTCCCCCTAGATATGTAGAGGATCAATAGCAAGGACACAGCATTTGTGCCACCAGTTGTCCCATGCCGTGGTAGACGTGGCTGAAGAAATGCCACACTTCTTCAGAACCCAGATGGCCTTCCAGACCCTTCCCAACATCAGAGGGCTCCAGGCACCCGTTCACAATCAGCCGAGGTGACGTAACTGATAGACTCTCTCTTCCTGTCCTCAGAAATACCTTCAAAATCATGGGAATTAAAGCAGGATCCCCCTAATTATGCTGCATTGCAAGGGCTTATTATTTCTTTCATTGGTTAATCAATAATTTCCTAGTTGATTTGGTTTCATTGTTCCTATTAAAATGCTATGAAATTAGTTTTGTAGAGATAGCATTATTGAAGCAAGCCTCTGATATTTGCCATGGAATTATCATTTGTAACCCTGCTGTCAAGTCTCTGGGAAATGTTAACTTTAGATAAATTAGTTCATTGTCTAAATACTTTAATCAGATCTCGTCAACTTTAGGTTATTCTACATCTTATCCAGCTTGTGGAATGCAGTGTCCACGAAATGTTTAATTTTTAAAGGTTAAAAAGCAATAATATTTGAGGACAAAACAATATTGTTTACTTAATGCAGAATGAAAATTTCCAAAATAGGAAGAGAAAGGAAATTCCAAAATACTACCTAATGTTTAGTGATTATTTTAGACCAAGATGAGTAAAAAAAAAATTTGAAGTTAACCGACAAAAGAAGTATTGTCATTAATAATAGAATATCTACCTGGTATTTTTTTTGATGATTTATTTTATTTATTTGAAAGGCAGCATTAGAGAGAGAGAGAAAGAGATGGAAAGACAGAAAGAGAGAATATTCCGTCCACTTGTTTACTCTCCAAATGCTACAGTGACTGGGGCTGGGCCAGGCCAAAGCCAGGAGCCAGGAGCTTTTTCTTTTCTTTTCTTTTCTTTTCTTTTCTTTTCTTTTCTTTTCTTTTCTTTTCTTTTCTTTTCTTTTCTTTTCTTTTCAAAGATTTATTTATTTATTTGAAATTCAGAGTTACACAGAGAGATAAGGAGAGGCAGAGAGAGAGGTCTTCCATCTGCTGATCCACTCTCCAAATGGCCACAATGGCTGGAGCTGTGCCGATCTGAAGCCAGAAGCCAGGAGCTTCTTCTAGATCTCCCATGCGGGTGCAGGGGCCCAGGGACTTGGGTCATCTTCTCCTGCTTTCCCAGGCCATAGCAGAGCTGGATTGGAAGAGGGGCAGCTAGGACTTAAACCAGCACCCATATGGGATGCTGGCACTGCAGGTGGCAGCTTTACCCACTACACCACAGTGCCAGCCCTGCCAGGGGCTTTTTCTAAGTCTCCCACATTGGTGCAGGGACCCAAACACCTGGGCCATCTTCTGCTGCTTGTCCCAGGTGCATTGGCAGGGCGCTGGATGGGAAGTAGCGCAGCTGAGACATGAACTTGAGCCTATATGGGATGCTGGAGTCGCAGACAGGAATTCTACCCACTGTGCCACAGCGTCAGTCCCTTCCTGGTATTTTTAAAAGATTGATTGATTGATTGATTTGGAAACAGAGTGACAGAGAAGAAAGACATAGAAAAACAGAGAGAGGGAGGGGTGGTGGGAGGGAAAGGGGAAAGAGAGAAAGAGAGAGAGAGAGAGGTCCTCCATCCATTGGTTCACTTCCTAAATGCGCACAACAGCCAGGCCAAAGCCAGGAGGCCAGAGCTCCGTTCAGATCTCTCACGTGGATGGAAGGAACTCCACGACATGGACATCATCTGCGCCCCTCCCCACCCCCTGCAGCGGGCATTAGCAGGGAGCTGCGTCAGAAGCACAAAGTAGGCGGATCTCAGACCAGTGATGTGTGATGTGATAGCCCAGGGAGCAGCTTGGCCCGCTGTGCCACATTGTCCACCCCGTCTGCCTGGTATTCCATGCAAGTGAGAAATCATGGATCTGAAGC